GGGTTGGGCTCCCCTACACTACTAACTACCCGGATACAATAATAATAATACATGTAACCGTCGTCGAAACTGGCACGAACACACCTCGAGGCTAGCGGGAGAGAAGGCCACTAGCGAACGGTAACTAGTTAGTTACATAAATGCAGAGCAAAAGAGTAAGCAAAATTTTCCGAACCATCTCAACCATAACTAAGTTACCCCTTTCACCACGACACATTATTTAGGCGCAGGCGCAGGGAAAAATCCAGTCACTCACTCACCTATTTCCAACAACCGCCGCCCCTTTCATGCAAGTATCAATTTCCTACTGTTGGATACAACGGGATTAAGCATCTAACAGTTCTCGACCAACCCCCTCCCCCCCCCCCCCCCGGGCGGAGCCACCCAGGGTAGAAACAACATCATCTAATAGAAAGAACATCATCATCCTGGGAGAGCTCCCACTGTCCACAGCCATCAGCGGACACGGGCGCGCCAAACTCCGGAGTTTATACCCAATCTTCTGCTGAGAAGCACGCCATAGAGATCACCTAAGCCTGGAAGAATGAAGCTGGCTGCGGACCTGAGGCAGCGAATCAACAACCCTTGTGTGTGAATTCCTCCTTGAACGATGAAAAGGGAACCGAACCGTAGTTTGCCCCCATTGTGATATTTGGAATGGTCTGTATTGCCAATTTGCTTGCTTTGCTTGGTGTAAACTGGGCTGCTGCTATGATGGTTGCAGCTGCATCACTGTTGGCGCATTGAGAGAGAAGAGGGGAGATGTGGTGATGTGGTAATGTGTATTTTCCTACCGTCACTTAATTCATAGCCTCCTTTTTTCTTTACTTCCCTTTCGTTACCAGATCCCGTAGGACAAAGGTGGGGGGGTATATGAGAGGCAAATAAGTATATAGATAAATAGAGACCAAAAAAATATATTTTGAAAGTGCAATCATTACGTACTTTGTTTTCAGAATTGGTACTATTTTGCCAGACAAATGGCAGAACTGTGTCTGCCCTCTGTACCGAGAAACCAATATGTGGCATCGTGGAGGTAGATATCTATTCGGTCCAAGGGCTTTCAAATGTGATGCTCCGACTTGCAAGGGCGTAAAAACAGTCCCTTATTTCTTTTTACTTGACATCGTTGAGTACCAAGGACCCATCCATACATGACAGAAAGAAGTGGCACGAGAGGTATGGACATAGATATACTCATTAGCGAGGACATGGTGCAGGATATTTTTCCTGATCTGTTTGTCTAGAAGAGGTTGTCTGCTTCTGTGGAAAGAAGCACATTAAATATTCATGTGAAGAAACGGAGAACGCCAAAGCAAGGTGTGTAAATCAGACCCTTAGTGTCCATGACTATACTTGAATTATTGACCATGAGATAATATAGATATCTCTAGTTATTCTTTGCTCAGATGAGGAAAAAAACCCATTGCGCCATTGGCATAAGGGACGAAATAGAGTAGTAGGCATATGCGAAAGACAACACATAAGCCAAAGAAAATGCATAGCCATATGGTATCCAGATTACAGGAGTCCTGAGGGCTGTTGTCCATGTGATGTTTGGAAACCGTTTGTAATTCAGTTCCCTTGTTGAATTTGCATGTCAATTGCTCTCCAGGTCTTGATAGAAGCTGTTGCATGATGCGGAAATGTGATGTTTCACCTGTAGCTTAGCAGGATATATATCTCAGCTCTCCTTTTGAGGACGTCAAGACCAAAATAAATTTCTAATCCTCAGACACCTAACTCCAGTTCCATTATAATAAAGAATGTTTCCTCTTTCTTTCTTTCTTTCCTTCCTTCACCAATTGGTTGCAGTAGAAATCGCTGCACTTCACATCTAGGAAGTTAGGCTCCAAGGGAAGAAGAAGTCGCGGTGAGGAGAGAGGAAGTCAAATAAAAAGGGGGCAAGCGGAGAAAATGCGAATCCCAACAAGATTGGATAGCTTTTATTTATTTAAACCCTGGATGTGCAAGGAAAATGCAGACCTATATAAGAGTTAAACCGCGAAGTTTTGTTGAAGCGAGGATGGATGCCAGGGGTGGGGTGAGGTGGTGAACATTTTCTGGGTAGGCAAAAGGGTCTTCGCCTGTACATGCACGGAGTACAGTACGTAGTAAATATTCCGATTGACTTTCGGGAGCTAGATTAGAGAGCCAGAGAAATGAATGGACCCTTTCGAGTGACAGAAGCTTGTTTGTAAGAGAGAAAAGAAAAGGAGGCGAGAATTGTCCATAACGAACATACCGACAGGAAAACAATAATGAACATAAAACAACAAGGATGAGAAATCACCAAAATATCCAACAGAGTGAACATGTACTGCGCCGCATACATGGAAGGTAATAAATATAGACGGGAGATGAAACCGTGATAGAAAGTCGTTGCATGAATAACGAGAGCAAAAATGGGGCGAGTCAGGTGTATATATTAAATAAGTTTCTCGGTTATTTAAACCGATATCTCTCGCTCATATCAGTGAAGCTGATGCTGAAGTTGATGTGATGCTGCTGGAGTACATACATACTGTGTAGTACTCCATCCCGGCCTCAGGGTGTGAGAGACCTTTGCATGGATGTGTTGTTCCTGTAGCTTGTATCCCTTGCAGCGCCCTGGGGGGAAGGATAATAGCGAAAACGCTCGCTACCCTGGCCGAAGGAGGGGTTCCGTCACAAGCTCATCACAATCACATTCATGAACTCTTATCCTGTAAGAGCACTAGGGAACTGGTAGGATGGGAGAGCGAGATGTGTGGGAGGTTTTGAGATATGGAGTATACAGCGTATACATATATATATATATATATCCTACTGTACGGATCAACCGCGAGCATGGAGATACTGTGAAACGAACGCCTGGTATGTATGTATGCACATGTACATGTACGCTGTAGTTATCAAAAAGATAAACCACGCAAATCGAATACTATTAATTGATCATGAATCCACCCACCGTCACCAAAGGCTGTTGTTTATGATCATTCGCTTTTCACAGCCCCGTAATCCGTACTAGCATCGTCGATTACTGATTACTGGGGAAGGGACTGAAGGGAAGCTGGTGGGCCTCCTACGCCGCGTTATATCTAAGTAGTATTAAGTAGTAAGTTTGGTAGAGATTGATAGTAGTAACATGGGTTTCGTAGGTGCAGGTCTGAGAGAGGCTCTTCTTGTTCTTCTTCTTCTTCTTCTTCTTCTTTTTCCAAGACTATGCGTATGTAGAGTACTTCCTCCTGGGTATGTATGGTATGGTGTGGTCTAGGCGATGGAATAATGGAGAGGGCAGGGGAGGAGGTGGCGGAGGGGATTTTCAAGGATAAACAACGAGATCTACAAAGGGGTGTCCATAACCCACAAACATAACATGGCAATAGTTGCTCCGTAACTACATCCGCCCAGTACTTGGTAGTTTTTGTGGCCGGCCAGTCAATTGTGATACAGATGGATGGATGGATCCCTGTGCCTGTCAACTCAATCTGAAACATGTTCATCTTGGCGGCCTGGAGGCTGTCTGGTCTGTCACTTGTGCTGTGAATGTGAATTATCATTTTGCTAGATTCATGATATTTCTGCCGACATACGCAGCACGGAGAGACTCGGTATTATTGGGTGGTGGGATCCTTGTCTGATACATACATACATACATATATATATATATCAAGAGAGAGAGAGGGAACTGACAAGGTAGGAAACTCCTCCATCCTGAAAGCCTCATAGACAGGAGACTTTTTTTTTATTAGCTCTTCTAATGAAAATTTGAAAGCCAAAAAGAAAAAAAGAAAAGAAGAAAAAGAAAAAGAAAAAGAAAAAAGAAAAATAAGAAAAGAAAAATAAGAGCCATTCATCAATTGCGGAGAACAGAAGCCCAATCAAACAGCCAGCATTCATCACAGCTCAAACATTCATTTTTCTTTTTCTCTTTCTTTCTCTTTCCTTTTTTTTGAGAATGGCCTTGCCTAGTTCAGGTTGGTTGATTATTGAAGATTGATTGCTCAGATAAGAAGGAAAAAAGAAAGAAAGAAAGAAAGAAAGAAAAGCGAAAAGAAAAGAAAAGACAATTTTATTGTCTTGACTCAGTTTCACACTGGCAAAGTAAAGTCAGATTCTGATAACTCTCACCAACGGCGAAGCAACAGCTAGCAGTAGCGAGCAGTAGCACTCAATATCATTCAGGATAACCTGCTAAAACCCATCTGTTATTTCCTGTGTATCACGATTATTTCGCTTTCCGCATCATCTTCCCATAAGTTGCAACGCGAGGGCATCAATTGACTTTTTTTTACCCCTGAGTTTCAACTCGCTCTAGCTATCTATGCGACCATGCTTCTAGTGGCCCCCCGTCTTACAACGCCATCTAGGTATGTACGCAGCCGTACCGTACAGGACACTTCCCAGCTAGCCCCGCAGTCCAACCACTCACCCGGCTCCATTCTTGGGCTGCCGATTGGTCAGACGAGGCAAAAAGGGATACAAGATAGGTATTCGGATTTCAACAAAAAAAAAAATAAAAAATAAAAAATAAAAAAAAAGGAGTAAGAATAGTTTCCAACACACGGACGCCGACATATATCCACTTCGCCATGGAATCTGTATCATCATACGCAAGCGTAGGTCAATCAGTAATTAGGCGAAGTTCCTGCACTTCCTTTCCATAGAAACAGAGCTTGGGTCGTAATGTGGATTAGGGGATAGAGAGCATCCGATTTTCATTCAGCAAGGCCGCCGTCCAATAACTAATAATAATAGCAAAACTACGGAGTACTTTTGACCCAAGATTTCCACCACGATGTGTTTCAGACAACCATGCTCCTCCCGGGCCGGCTGGGGAACGCCGGCAACAACAGCTACTCTACTACGGAGTACTAATAACAGACTGACTGACTTGCTTGGAGCCATCAGAACGATCATGGCCCATGCCAATATTAAATAATTGCCCCCGTTCCTGTTAGCAAGCAGTGTTAGGCAAAAAAGCTTCGAAGGAAAAAAAAAAAAAAAAGAAAAAGGAGTGGATTGGACTGGACTGGACGGGGAAACCTTAATTAGTTTCGTCCCCCTCCCCCCTTATTTTATTGTTTTGTTTTTTGGGGTTCTTTTCCTTTTACTTTGTTTGGTACGGCGCGGCTTCCCGAGCCGCGTTCTGGAGAAGCTTGAAACGGGAGCGGGTTGTTGTTTACCTAACTACGGAGTACACATAGTAGGTATGTATATATATATATATATATATATATATACACCACCAACACCCTCCAGCGGTGAGTAGAATAGGTATGTATGTACAGTACTCCGTACATGTACAGACGTAGGTAGTAGTAAATGGTCATAGACGACGGTTAAACGAACGAGACTGAGTGAGTACAGCGTAAATGTATGAGGAAGTACTTGCAGTTGAAGTCAACTGGAACATACGGAGGTAGGTACATGTCCAGCTAGCTAGCTGAAGTTGTTCTTCTGCCCTTAACGTAAACCAAAGCGCCCCCTCCCCCCCCCCCCCGGGCGTATTCCTTAGTCTCGCCCCTTATGCACGCCCGATCTATCTCATGCAATGCAAATGCAAATGCAAATGCAATGCAATGTGCAGGGCACCACCCTCTCTCTCGCCTGCCTCTGTCTGTGTTTTCTGCTGCCGTCGCCTCTGTCTTTCACTCGGGACAGGACAGTCAACATCCTGACATCTGACACTCTTCTCATCTTTCTGAGCATTCCTTTCTTCCTCCTCTTCTACGGAGTAATACTATTTCTTCTTCCCGACAGTGAGCGCGACAGCCATAATTCACAATCCACTGTCTGTCCTCTGGCCTTCCTCCACCCGCCAATTGCCAACCGCCATGCAGCTGCCCATCTCCAACTCCTCCTCCACCTGACAAGCTCCAACCAACTCCGTCGTCCCTCCTTTTGTCCTCCCTAGCTAGCTACAGCACCACCACCACCACCACCACCACCAAACCACTACGACCACTACCGACTGCTACGACTACTCCTACAAGTTATTTTATTTTATTTTTTTATTTCGCTGTGCTTTGCTTTGCTTTGCTTTTTTTTTTTTTTTTTTTTTTTTTTTTAATTTAATTTTTATTTTCTCTCAAAGAGGAATCGAAAACGAGAACGAGAACCAAAAGCAGAAGAAAAGAGACGCCTTCTCTCTCCGGCTCGCCCTCGCGACATCACCTTGTCTGTCGATGACCCACCCACAATTGAAAACGCTCGTTTGTTTTAATAAGAAATAAATATATAAAAGAATAAAAGGATTCGAGATCATTTTATACATACATACCTCAATGGCCGGACCTTGACCCACAATTCACCATCGAATCCTCCACGCGGCTCTGTATCTACTTCTCTCGTACGTTCGTCAAGAATCCAATACTAATATACAATGATATGCGTATCGACGCAGTACCATAGGGACACTGTTCTGTTACTTCCCATCCCAGCTAACGTCATCTGTATATGTATAGCTTTAGGTAGAACCTCGAGCGAGATAGCTATACTATACTCCTTCTATTCACTCCTTCATTCCCTCTCGAAGATCAACAACAACACAACAACACAACAACACATCGGACAATCCTTCTGCGAAGCATATAAACGGGAAAAGACACTCTTTCGATAAAGAGCAATCTTTCTTTCTGAATCGCGCGTATACAACCCTCGATTTCGTCGTTCATTCCACCTTTTGTTCCCTCCTTTTGTTCTCTTTTATTTCCCTTAAATGCCTTTTTGGATCGGACCGTTTTCCTTTCCGCCACCACCACCAACAACCAACTCCTGCCGTTGCTGTGTTATAGATTCATTCATGCACATGACTTACCGCTGCAAAGTGTAAATGCTATAAAGAGAAACAAAGTGCATGGGGGAAAACGGGGACTTTGACCTACCTACCAACCTGCCAACCTACCTCGATTCTCTCAAAACTGGCTGACCGTTGAGCGTTGAGCTTTGGACTGAGGGTCTTGCCTGATATTACGAATTGTCTCCTACCTTCAAATCTCTCACTCACCCCACTTCTTCACACCAACCCCTGAACACAACGAGTGCCTTGCGTTTTATTTTCCCCCCATTAGAACAATTCCCTTTTTCTGGCCTCCATTCCACCCAATCCCGCACTGACAGCTCTCCCCCCTCTTTTTTTTTTTTTTTTTTTTTTTTTTTTTTTTTAATTCTCATTTGCTGATCGCGGCATCTTCCCCGCATAGCCATGCATGCATGACAGCGGCAACTGGAACTAAAGGAAACGTCCATACCCACCTACATCCACAATGCCTTCTGACTTTGAAAATGACTATGCATACCTGGGAAGCTCCCTACCTGTGGGTAAGGATAAGAAGCCCTACAGGACCCCCTCGAACCCAATGTCGCGCCGTCCATCGCTTCACCGCAGAGATTCTTCTCCAGGCCCTTCCTCCTCCCCTCCGCGCTTCAACTCCGGCAACCGGTACGAATCCGATGGCCCAATCACCCTTATCGACATCGCAAATGATGAGACCATTTCGCCCCTAGACCCGCGGCGCTTCACTCCAACCCTACATGCATCGCTCGTTTCTGAGATCTTGTCCCTGCGGCGAGACATGGAGGCGAAAACAAGGGCAATCGATTCGCTTGAGATGACTCTGGAAAATGCAAAGGCGGAAACAGAGACTTTAAGGGAGACGCTCGCAAAGAGCTCCAAGGAGAACCGTTCGCTGAAAAAGCAGTTACAGCTTCTTGAGGGCGGTTCCCTGTCTGCCATGACAGAATTGTCCAAGGAGCGTGACGACGCCTTGGAGAACATTGCAGATTTCCGGAAAAGGCTTGAGCAGTCGCAGAAGAGAGCGCGTACGCAGGAGGATGAGATTGAACGGACGCAAAGGCTATGGGAGCGTGATAAGCAGAATTGGGAAGAAGAGCGGAGAAACTTGGAGCGTAAAGTCCATGTTGTGGAGGGACGGCTGAAGGTTGTCCTCAATGAAGTTGCAGCCGCTCAGGCAGCTGGCTCTTTTCCTCGTAGCGTCGATGGAGACTTCGACGATTTTGTTCGGGATGGCACGACGGCCAGGGCCAGCGATACTAACAGTGTCCGCTCGAGCAGTGTCCTGGGACGGCGACGCACGAGCACTGCGAGCGTAAGTACTCATGATGGTGATCTGCATAATCTTCGGTACTCCGTTATGAGTCTGGCCAACGGTCATGGACCCAAGGTCGATGGCTTGAACCTAGCAGACGAACTTGCCTTTGATGAGGAAGACGAAGACACATTGGGCCTAGACGACCACCGACCAGATTCAAGATGCACGGTTCCCGATCACGAAAGGCCCATGTCGATGCAATCACGGCCGATGAGCAGCATGATGGCCCGACATACGTTGGATTTTTCGCTTGACGGACATGAAAGGTTCGGCACTCCCGATGTACTTGATCATCCAAAGAATCTGGATGTAATTCCAGACATCGAGGAGGATGCAAAGGCAACCCCAGCTGTACCACAGTTCGAATACAGAGACGTTGGAATCCAGTATACCCCACCTCCATCCCCTAAGATCGTCCCTGAACCGGATGAAGTTATCGTCGACGAGGCTCCTCTGGTGAATTGCCCGAACTGTGCAGACCTAGAAAGGAAGCACACATCCTCTAGTACGGAAACAACACCCATATACGAAACAAAGGACAGTAGCACCGTCACCGTGCCTCTCCTCACTACCTCTTCTGCGTGCCAGACAACCGGAGAGCTGCCAAGTCCTCCATGGACTCCTAAGTTGGACGAAATTTCATCAGAGGAGTCCACCCCGTTAGCCTCCCCAGCTCCCTTTATTGCAACTCCTGCTGTTACAACAGCTTCCATCTCAACTCAAACCGATGATGTAATTATCAAGGACAAAGAAACCCAAAACCTAGAACAACTTATCCGACAGGCAATGCCAATCCCTATGATCACGATCGAACCCCCTGGCTCAAACCCACAGTCCGGCAGGAACAGTGTCGTCTTGCCACCGCAAACTAAGAGTATATCATGCCAGACAAACATCGAACCACTAGTCGATGTACGGTCATGTGGCATGCAAACAGAAGAAATCCGCGTCGATAAACGCAGTGCCAAACTCCCCGCCAAACTACTCCCATCCGCGATTATAGACCCACGGATAAGCCCAGAATACATAGATCTACCATCACCACCCCCCATCCAGGCATTCCACGTCCCTCCAAAATCCGCAAAAAGGAAGCTTCGGAAACCACCGCCAGTCGAGCCTGCACCGCTATCAAGGCCGTCCTCGAACGATAAAGAGCCTGAGAAACTGCAAACACTGCAAGCATATCCCGGGAATAATGACAATGGCCCCCTTTCTGACGATGTAAAGCCAGAGCTTCGACGGCCGTTCAGAAACAGCAGCTTATTTGCTGGATTTGAGCACATCAGTGACGATGAATGGCCAGTGCCACAAGGGGACCTGTTTAGCGATGACGAGCTGTTTAATCGACCCCTGGCATCTTACACGCTGAGGGCTGGTAAGCTGGTTACCAAGCCCTCACCCTCAATACTGGACGACAACCCTCTAGCGGAGCGTGAGGAACACCCAGACACAAATGAGGAGCAGTATTCGCCGAAATCAGTATCCGAACTAAGAGCTCACAACGGTCCTCAGCAGCGTGCTGTGGCATCTGGGAAATCCTCAACTGCCAAACGACCGCCCAGACCCTTGAAATTGGGCAACGTCGCGAAGCAACCAGATATTCGTCGCACTGCCATGATCTCTAGCTCTACCGCCGCACATCAGGCATTCAGGCCTCGCAGCCCCAGTGCGCCCAGTATCGGCAGCAGCGCCGCTTCCACTAGTACCGCAACCAAACCTCCCTTCCCCGTTCCCGTGAGGTTGAGTTCGCGCAAGATCCCTACCAGCGCAAGTGAGGGCGCTCAGAGCCCCACGCCATACAGCAACGGAAATTACCTAGAGCGGGGCTTTAGATCAAGAGATCCTCCACTTCGTAAAGTACGCTCGGCCGCTGTAGTGTCTAGGACGCAATATCATGATCGGCAGCAAAGCCATTCACCTCCAACAATGTCGACAACATCAACCTGCCCGGAAAGCCCACACCTACCACCCATGCCCGTCGACGAAATCACAGCCCCTCGCAGTAAACGTTCTGGTAAACCGCGCTCAAATCGACAAATTCCACCCCCTCCCAGATCCCATCGAAGAGACGAGTCAAACAATACCAACACGGGTATACAGCAGACTAGTGTGGTCGATGCGATCGCACAGACCATGGTAGGAGAATGGATGTGGAAGTATGTTCGAAGACGGAAGTCTTTCGGTATGACCGATAATAGTAAGGAGGGATGGGAGCTGGGTAAAAGCACCGAAGAGGTCTCCGCAAATATCACTGGGAATGGCGTCAGGCATAAGAGATGGGTATGGCTAGCACCGTATGAGCGTGCAGTCATGTGGAGCAGTAAACAGCCCACCAGCGGATCTGCGTTGCTAGGCAAGAGTGGCCGAAAGTGTGAGTATTTATCCCGCCCAGGAGCTAAATGGCCTGTATACTCCTTTGGAGGAAAAGAAGTATTTTCGTTTGGCTAACTAGCACTCTCCGTAAAGTAACGATCCAATCTGTCCTTGACGTCAAGGATGATAATCCGTTACCCAAGGGCTCTAGTCCTAGTAACCATTTCAACCGGTCGATTTTGATACTCACCCCGCAACGAGCACTGAAGTTCACAGCCATGACAATCGAACGCCATTTCGTCTGGTTAACCGCTTTGTCATTCCTAAGCCACTCGTCGATGGGTGCCAACGACCTTGCGTCCTTGCCACCGGTCCCACACGAAGAGTATCGCCCTCCCCCAGGTAGTACACTAAGGCGCAATCCAATCCGCGACTCAATCCGCGTCGCAAAGGGTAAAGCAAGACCCACCCCAGCAAGTTCCAACCGTTCATTTGCATCCCACCCGTCCGCCGTCCCTGAGCTACCTTTTGATGAAGCTCAACAAGGCGAACCTATCAACGACGTCGCCGATCCCCCAAATGTCCCAAGATTCTCCTCACACTCGCGCAAGCGAAGCAACACAGCACCGCGCCTCCCTCCAAGTGCATTTAAAAGCTTCTCCAACCACACCACCGCCCCGTCCACATACAGCACCACAACCGCGTGCTCATCGGATCTCTACTCTCCCTCAACCATGGGGCCATCGGGCGTGCAGAGCGGCCAAAGCAGTTTTAGTCATCGCACCTCAGAAGCCAGCGGCCCATCTAGCGTTGGCATGAGCAATTTCTTCGAAGCAGTTGGTACAGTGCGGATGGAAGCTTTCGTGGATCGAAATGAATTCCCACGCCAACGAGTTGGTGGGCATGGACATAGATCAAGGCAAGGCGGCGGCGGTGGTGGTCGAAGGAGACGGGATGCGCATTACTGGCCCCCAAATAGCCCGGACACGGAGTTTTATGGTTCCGAAGACGGGGATGTGCTCTTTCGAAATGAGGATCCTTTTCGAGGGTTCTAGAACGGTTTTTGTTAGCCCTCGAGCCCTCGAGCCCAAAGAGAGTAGGGTAGTAGTCTGGTCTCGTCCTTGATATGAATCAAGGGGCGTGTGTAAATTTATTTTACATGCGTTTTGAAGTTCTTTTGCTCCTTTTCTCTTTTTTCCTCCTCGTTGAAAGAGAAGGATGGGCAACTATGTATGATGCGGAAGAAGGTAAGCAGGACTTCGATATAGAGGAAGAAGGGCCATCAATTGATACGATACCACTGTACAAATAGTTGTTTGGAAACAAAGCGGACCACTGGCAACCCCAGTTTCTTGTTTCTGTTTTTTTTTTTTTTTTTTTTTTTTTTTTTTTTTAATGTATTTTTGTTTCCCGTGTTGAGCTTCCCGCCTTTCATTTCCCTCGTACTTATTTAGGTTCATCCTCTTCGGCAGGGGATATCAGCGGTGTTATGTTTTCATTTTCATTCATTCCTGAGCTCTTCGCCCTCTCTTTATTCGCTCTTCCTTGCAGTTTTCTTTTTCTTTTTTTTTTTCTTCAACCAGCGGCGTCCATGGATATATATATATATATCTTCCTTGCGTTTTCCTTTCCGATCTTGTTATTATAGTATATTTTTGTTGGTATTTTCTTGTAAACCTCCCCCCCTGTTAATATACGTACGCAGCGGAAATTGACGCCGGTGGGCTTTTTGACTGATCGACCTCATTCATATCTGATCTTCATATTTTTTGTTCCCACTTTTGATGTATTTGTTTCGAGGAGGAACGGATGTCTTGTTTCGCCTTCTCCTCTGCTCTATGTGAAGGGTCCCAAGAGAAGAGGACTATGGTTCAGGAATCGGGGGAATACATATATAGATAGCTTCCCTAAGCGATCGAGTTTATTATATCTTCGCGTGCGTGACTCCTTCGTGATATGGTGACGCCTTTCTTTTCTTTTTTCTTTTCCTTTCTTCGTCTTTGTTGCATTGGTATCGTTGTTCTGATTCATCCGTTCGATCGCTCGATCGATCCACGATCAACAACCCACACCAGCCAGCATAAACGAACGGGTTCCTTGTGAAACTCTGGAACTCGGAGATCGATCGAAGTAAATTGATTGATTGATTCCGCTTTTGCTTTTCTGTTTGGATTAAACGACCAAGGCAAGAAGGGGCGGTAGGTGGGGGGGGGGAGGGGGGAGGTAATAGGATAGATAATAGGTGACTCTGGCTCTGTCCCACTGCGTCCTTCTCCCTCCGCATACATCTCTGACCTTCATCGAGCATGAAAAAGGTCGAGGTTCATTCAGATAGAAAGTTGGATGGATAAAAAAAGGAAACAAAAACAAAACAAAACAAAATTTATGAAAGAAAATACTGATACTTTAGAGAAAGAAGAGGGAACACACCCACCTTCCCCCCCGTTTTAAGTTCTTCCGTCAGTTAGTTTAGTAGATAAAAGTTTCCTTCGGCGTTTGTCATCATCATCATCTTAAAACTCACCGTAGCAAAAAATATTTCAATATTTCAATATCCCCTTGTGCTCGTGTACGACAGGACAAGAACAGAAAGCATACATCACACGGCATACAGCATACAGCACACGGCATACGGCTGGTTCGGCCCAGCGCGCAGCCAGCCAGACCAGCCGCCTTTCGATTCCGTTTGTCAGAGTTTCGATCATCGCCATCATCACCATCATCACCATCATCTACTACTACCCGTTCAGAGCGAAACTAGTTGTGCAGGGAGCCGGTCGCACAGTACAAGGAGGCGGGCGCAGTGCCGTGTGTGGATAGATAGATAGATATATTGATATTATATATTCTGTTCGCTCAAGTGACACAAGCTCGGCTCGTAGTTGGTTCGTCTTCTTGTAGCTATATACATATACCCCCTTAAGAGCAGATCTTTGGAAAGGTGGTCGATAGCTGCTGGGTTTGGTGTAATCTATTAGATAGATGGCGGACTGATATTGGGGACTGGTAAAAAAGAGCGGAAGTTGGGGGGTTGGACTGGGCATCTGTTTTCATTTATTTAATGTATGTGTTTCATTTCGATATGCCTGACTCCTGATTTAGATTAGTTATTGTACAGTACATCCTATTTGTGTTGCGTTATTTCTTATTTATTGGCTTTTATTTGTTGCATGGAATTTCAATTAATCCCACCACCATCATAAATTGCATGCAAGCAGTACGGAGTAGTTAGTTATAACTAATAAGTAACTAGTTAACTAACAAAGCAGGGAACTGGACTGAGCAAAAGAGAACAGAACAGGATTCCAATTGCAGCAAGCAAGGATATTTCATTCATTGATTGATTGATTGTCTGATTAACTCTTCGTATTGATTTTCTTGTTCAACATATCAATTTATATACTAGCGCTGCGGAATTCATGCAAGGAACCGGTTTAGTGCGGACAACAGCTACATTTTTTGTTTGGTAGCAGAGGTTGATACAAAGGGACATGTACTGTACATGTACATAGCATACATGTACGGGCAGACTACAGATAGATCCAAGGTTTTCAATAATTTCTTCACAAGGAGAGAATATGCAATGCTTCTGCTCAATTCAGATCTATTCTATCCCCTTTGGCCTGATATCCTATCCCTCATATCTCCCCCCCCCCAGCCTTCCCCCCCCCCCCCCCTTCATCCGCACCAATAACCCTTGCCACATCCGCCGGTAAAACATACTCCTCCTCCACCGGCATCATTTCCCTCGCCTCATCCAGTCTCCCCTCGCCTGCCAACCTCCCCACCTCCCGCATCAGCCCCGTAACATCCCTGATCCCCACAATCCACTCATCCACATACCGATCCACCGCCTCCCCTTTCAACCCAACCTGCAGCGACCGATACTCAAGCGCGCGGAACTCGAAATCCCTCTCAGGATCCCACTGCACGCGCACGGGGCTCTCCTCCTTGCGCTTCTCCCACGTCGCCTGGTCCGCGTACAGGTGCGGAGACGGGTGGCTGAGGCACGCATGCGCCAGTGCCCAATGGAACCCTTCGCGCGTGACTTCTAGAGCCAGCACCCGCTTCTGGTCTTTCTTTGTCGCCCAGCCGCAGCGGTAGGCCATCCAGAGGAATGAGGGCTTGATCCAGGTCATGCGCTTGAAGGGGGCCACGAATTTCCCGGCGGCCACTGCTGCGTTGGCGATTGACGGTGAGTATGCCTGGTAGATTGTGATGGTCGTTGGGGTGTGTTGAGCTCGGATGGCGTAGTTGGATGGGCCAGCTTTGAGTGGTTGTTGTGACTCCATTGCTTTTCTGATTGAGATCTTTGAGGAATGGTTGGCGAGAGGAGTCGAGAAGAGTCGATTCGAGAAATTCGCGAAATTTTCATGCTCTCTCTCATTGACAGCTTTTAAGAGCGTTATGCACGGTGGTTTCCAAGCGTTTGTAGTAGCCACCTTGTTTGTCGGAGGCCTAAATAATACCTCCTCCTACCTATTGATATGAAGCTACTGAACTTAGCCAGGCTGTATCATTGAATATCCATTGAGCATCCTGAAATCCGTCCGCCCTTCACAGCGCTGAAATGAAGATGGCGGAGGGTTGCCTGATTGCCTGATTATAATAATATAGCCAATAATTTAGCCAGCTTAACAGCGGAGCCAGGCTCGTACATCTAGCCCATTCTGCTCCCCGCGCGCTGGTTCAGGTCTCCGACAACCCCGGGGTTCGCAATTCCGCCGGCGCCTCTATTATTTCTTGAGTCATACATATCCAGTCACAAGCTGAAGAAGAGAATATCAAACATGAAGAGAAGGGCGGAAGGGGGAAAACAGACACTTCTCTTCATTCGATGTGTCTCTCTTGAAGTAGTAGTACTACTAACTGTAATAGGGATTGGCTTTTTGAACGAGCAATTTGGGTCACTTTTTTAAACGATCCAAACCGGAGATGTATGGAAAGAAAACTAATTTGACGGAGCTGAGAATAATATCAATCCAGCATCAACGAAGATCAGTGAGGGACATCCCATCCCGCCCCGCCCCGCCCCGCCCCTGACTACTTCTCCGCCTTCAATTGTTCCCACCTCCGCCTCCTCCCCATTTTTCATCACCACCATCCGGAAACTCCACCGTACGGGCTTGTATAGGGTTTGTGACCCGGCCACAAAAGTAATCTGGTCTGAAACCTTCAAGACATTTTTAAGAAGCAAAGACAACAGGTGAGAACGAGAACCCATATAAAGCGCAAATAGATAAAAAGAGGTCTAGATTGAACGTATGTAAAAGGCCGAAGAAAGGTAAGGAGAGATGTAACCTAGTGAAACAAAAAAGGATGTCCCGAGAATTTTTAAAAATACAAATAAACATATTCTATCCTTCTCGTCTTCTTTTTGAATTTTCCGCTCACGAAAACAGTCCCAGGTAGAGAACCATCCCCGGAACCCCACCACTGCCATCGAGCTGGCTTGTATATGTTTCTTAAAAAAGAAAAAAATCTGTAGGAGAATTCGCAATGAGAAAAACGAACATGGAAAAAGACAGAGCTGGAAACGAGGAAAAGAGATGTTAGGTTTTGAATTGAATTCGGTATCCAGATTTATACATATGATGTCAATAATAGGCGGCCGATGGGAAAGGATTTTGGGAGAGAGCAAAAAGAAAATAACGTGTCTATATCCATTTTATAGCTTCGCAGCCTCCTTGACTTCGCCAATCTTCAGCTTGCCGCCGTACTTCGTCAGGACGCCCGCGTTGTGATACTGTTTTTTGATGATAGGCGCAGAAGTTAGCAAAGATGGTAATTTTTTATGCATATAAGAAGCAGCACAATGCATGGATTATAAGGTAACAACTATAGATAGATTATGGAGATATTTCCTCTAACGAACCTTCCAGAACTGCTTCGAAGCATCCTTGCCCGCAACGCGCTTCAGAATCTTCGAGCCGCCGGGATGCTCGTCTAGGAAATCGGTGATGTCGTAGACGTCTGAGTCGATGATGATATACATGCCGTTCTCGGCCTTGTTGTGCTGAGCGACCTCAGCAGCTGTGAATGATTTCGACATTGTATTGGTGTGGATTCGGGGTTCGGAGATTTTTATTTTTATTTTCAAAAAAGAGGCACGTAGATAAGCTCTCTCCTTGCAGTCAGTGGTTATTGCTGCAGAAGATGGAGAGTGACAGGGGGGTTGTTCGAGCTTAGAGGGACAGCGGGAGCGGGATGGATGGGAGCTATTCACAACTTCTAGGGGTTGAGATATTGGTACGGATCAAGAGTGGAATCGCCTGGGGCGCTTGCGGTTATCTTTATAAGACTGGCAATGGCGAATTTTGGGGTTTACATATGGCCAGGTCCAGGAGGGGCTTACAGTTGGACGTGGTGCCAAAGAAGTTGATCGTGGTGCCAACTCGGGCCGGAAAAACAGTTTGGCGTGGTTTGAACCCAATTTCAATTTGGACTAGACATATGACATATCCAGCAGATCATCCCTACACCTCTCATAATATTGATTTTTCATATTTTTCAAAGGCTCTAGCTAGCTCTTTCCTATTTATTCTAATTCTAATTCTCTAATATACACCTCTACACTAAGATAAACAAGGATTGAGTGAGAGATTGAAAAACAGTTAGACTGGAATTAGTAGGCGTGTACGGAGTAGTGGGTGGGGGATTTTAGACGGAGCACTAAAGTGCATAAAGAATTGGCACCATGATCAACTTCTTTGGCACCACGTTCAACTGTAAGCCAATCGAACCGACGTCTCTCGGTCGTTGCTTTGTCGCCTGTGCGCTGTGAGAGCCGAGGTAGATTTGGCCCGCACGAGGACGCCGGGAAAGCTAGGCCTATTTGGACATGGCGTCCAGATGGCGAACTCGGCTCCTTTGTCAGCCGAAACTTCCATGTGATGATTGGCTGTAAGCTACTGGAATAAGGGGGTCTACGGCGGTTGAAATATAGAGTATATAATGGATATATCTAGAATACATATACATTTCTTCGACTAAATGGTTATCCAAAATGCATTATCTTCGTTGTCGGCCATCGCCATCATGATAATCTGCATCTTCACACCTTACTCTTCTCCCCCGCCGCCCCCTGCCCCTTCGGTACTTTTTTATCAATCCCCAACGTCTCCAAATCCTTCTTCTTATGATAATGCGGGGCCACCTCCACTAGCCACTCGGGTTGCAGTGGCATATTACTACGCATATACTCCTTGCTCGTCAGGACCAGCTCGTAATATATTACCCACTTCGGGTTCACCTCGAACAGCGTGCTGGACGGGTGTAGGTACACAGTCTGTCCATTCTTGACCGTCCGGTATGAATCACCGCCACGTTGTAGACGCGCCGCGTTCGGGAAGAACCCGGCCGTGATAGCCTTTTGGATGGGGACGAGATCATTGGCCCCCGCAGAGGTAATAGTTACCTCAACCCGATCACAGAGCTTGGCGAGCTGATCGCGCACGTCACGGGCACGCGTTAAGCTTCGTTGTTGTAGGAAGTTCTCGCGCGCCCAGACGTAGCTGAAGTCGGAGTCGACCCATTGGTTCCACACGTTTAGGAGTGAGAAGTGATCACCGCCGGCTTTAATGGTGAAACGCGCGCGAGCACTGTCGGCATGGATCTTTTTGTCTTTGGGTCGGAAGAATAGAGAGCTGGCTTCGCCTAGCATGGCGATTATCGAAAGCACCTCCTCGACACATCCATACTTATCGGCTGCTAGAATAGCCTTGGCAAGCATTGGATCGGTGGGGAACTCGGCCATCTGCCTCCCAACCTTGGTCAAATCGCCATGGTCATTTAACGCTCCGAGCGCGTATAACTGCTCGAGAGCACGGATAAGCGTTTCTGCAGGTGGTGGGTCCATGAAATCGAAATCGAGAAGCTGGTCGATCCCGAGTGATTTTAACATCAAGACGACTCCGTTGAGGTTTGTCCGTTGGATTTCTGGAGTGGTGTTTTCCTCTAGCTCATTGTAGAAAGCCCATTTTGTATATAGCCGAAAACATTTGCCTGGACCGACACGGCCTGCTCTCCCTGCTCTCTGGCCAGCAGATGCACGCGAGCAGGGCGTAACAACAAGGCTCTCCATTCCAGTGCGCGGGTTGAATACGTTTTCTTTCACGAAGCCTGGGTCAATCACATACACAATTCCGTCAATGGTCAAACTGGTTTCTGCAATGTTGGTAGCAAGAACCACCTTTCGCGCTCCGGGAGGGGTGGGTTCAAAGATCTTGGCTTGAAGTTCCGAAGGCAAGTTCGCGTAGATGGGACATATTATCAGCTCTGGTATCTTGGAACCTAGCTTCCGAGCTGTCTCTTGTATACTTTGTTCTGCAGCCTCAATTTCCTCTTGACCCGTAAGAAAGACCAAAATATCGCCAGCCCCCTGGCTTATGTGGATGTGGAATACGGTAGTGATCGCAGCGGCAAGATAATTTGCCTCCGGTTGTGATGTATAGTGTATGTCCACGGGATATCTTCGCCCAGGGATATTGAAGATGGGCGCATCATCAAAGTATTTCTGGAATTTTTGCGCATCAATCGTTGCTGATGAAATAAGCAATTTCAGATCAGGCCTTGCCTTTGCAATATCCTTCAACAGACCGCATGCGATATCGGTGGATACAGTTCTCTCGTGGGCTTCGTCGATCATCAGTGCAGAATAGGCACCAAGGTCAGGCTCCGTAAGCAGTTCACGTAGCAGCATACCATCAGTCATATACTTGAGCACTGTCTTGTCACTGGTAGCATCCTCGAACCGGATAGCATATCCAACTTCATTCCCAACCTTAACGCCCATCTCCTCAGCTACACGAGCAGCAACACTCATCGCTGCAACTCGTCTAGGCTGCGTGCAGCCAATCTTCATCCCCCCATTGGTATACCCCGCTTCGTGTAAATATTGAGGGATTTGAGTAGTTTTCCCACTACCAGTTTCTCCAACGATGATAATAATCTGGTGATCAGCCACCGCTTGTAAAATTTCCTCTCTAAACCGGTAGATAGGTAAGCTTTTCCTTGTCTCCTCAATGGACGTTGCTTTCTGTTCTGCCGCATCCAGCTTCTGCTGGAAGAGCAGCTGCTCCTTGGTTAACGGCTTCCGGTCCCCTTCTAACTTCGAATCCATGATGAAATTTATCTTCTGCGCATCGTCAAACACATACTCGTAATCCCCTTCATCAGCGAACTCTGCCTTGTGAATTTGTGCTCTAGCCTTAGCTGCCTGCTCATTCTCCCACTCCTCATGTTCAGTAACGAACCGCTCATGTCCATGCTCATCCCGATCAACATAACGTTTATAAAGCGCTTCTTCTTTCCGCTTCCGATCAATCTTGCCCTTTTCTGTAATGTAATCTTCAGGCAACGCATAGCCATCCCGATAATCGTCAATCCGCAATCGCTCCTCCGCCAGCCGTAGCACTTCTCTATTTTTCTTAAACTCCTCTTTTTCCCGACGTGTCAAGTTTGGATTCTCGCGAAGCTCGGCAGTTTCTTCCGCGACTTGCTTGCGCAGCAGAGCCAGTCGCTCCGCTTCGCGTTTCTTAAGATATTCCTGCCGCGAGCGAAGCCGCAAGTCTGGCATTGCCGCGGACCTCGCCGCAGCATCTTCAGCCAGCGCGCGACGCCGGGCTGCATCCGAGTCTTTCGTGGACGATCGATCTTCGACGATTTTCTTTGACTTCGAATCGTCCCTTTTCGCGAGGCGTTTCGCGAACTCATCGCGCTCCTTGAGGTCGCGCTGTCTAGCCCGCTCAGCTCTGGTCTCTGGATCTCCATCTGAAGAGGGAGAAGAAGAACGAGGGGACTGGGAGCGTAGTGTTGGTTCTTTTTCTTCTTGTTGGGCCTCTTCTTGTTGTAGTTGCTCATCATACATCTCACCTTCGTCTTCGGGTATTTCTTCATCGCCCCAGCGGTCTTCAAAATCCCTGTCGTTCCTTCTGCGGACCTTCTTGGACCGATGCCGACTTTCGCGATCATGATCGCCTTCCCGCTCCCGTTTTCGCTCACCTCGCACACCACGATACGCACGCTGCGCACGCTTGTGCCTCGACTCATCATCACCACCGTCATCACCGTCCCGACTCCTTCCGCGATCTCCGTTCTCTTTCGCCCTCCTGCTCGACTTCTTCCCCACTTCAGTAGTCTGTAACGGCGCCAACCCAGCATTAACATCCATATCGTCTTCCTCCATCTCAACCAATCTATACCTCTTCTTCAACCCGTCCGCTAGCTGTTCCTTGCTAGCCTTTGTACCACTATCTCCTTCCGCACCAGAACTGCCACGCACCCTTCTCCATAGCTCAGCGCAGAACGAATGGATTTCATTCTCATTCCCGTCCAGGAACGGTCCCAGTTTCTCTTGTAGGGAGCCGGCTGATTTGACGGAGCCCGTGGTGGCGAGGATGTAATCGATGACCGTCGCATCTGAGGCGCCTGTTAGCCGTAGGAGGGAGTCGGATATATATGTCCGGATATCCATGGCGCTGATTGTCGTTCTTCACCACCTGTCCTTTCGGGGGTGGGAACTATAGTATGGCAGCTAGCTGTTGAGGTAGTTCGTAATTCACAGCGGACCGTGAAGGCTGAACGGGGGGACCCGTCCACGGATGCCGGCGCGCGATTGGGATTTAGGATATTTTTGGGGTTTCAGTGCTATAGCATGTCCGTCTGTCCCCTCAGTTTCGTCCAGCGCAACAAGAAGAGATCGAAGAAGGCCGTTTAAAGTGTATTTATTCAGGAGGTCGGTACTGTGTTTCCGCACAATAGAACTCAGTAAAGCGTGCTGATGTCGCTGAAACGGATGAAGTATGGGTAATATGGAGCTCAAAAAAAGACTCAAGAGGTGAGTGCTATCCTCCTGGTACTTGATTCTGAGGCTTTTAATTTCTTTTTCGTAAAACCCGCGCGTTTTGGATGCGAAATATTAAATTATCACCAGCTTGGCTTTTGAGCTGCGATCGCCCCAATGCCAAGGCTGATAATAAGGTTAGTCATGTGATATATAAAATCTCCGGAGAGAAAGAAGAGAACCGTTTGGGATTGAAGTAAGGGTAGGTAGGTAGGTTGACTGTTTCTCGACGCAATCTGTATCTATTATTTCATTTTGGGAAAGGAAAGTTGTGTGAAGTTTTAATATCTCTGCTACAAGCCAAAAGCCAAGCTACATTGTCTATCTATCAGAAGAAATGCACCTTGTGGTGGTAAAAATCTAGCTACAAATTTTCCATTCTGCCTACAATAAATATATGAATTTATTTACTAAGTGACAGGTATGAGAGGGAACAACTGTAGCAGTAGCGGCACAACATACTCCGTACTAAGCTGAATGATGAGAAACATGCGCAGAAAAGAATATCAAGAATCATTCACAACAACAGGGCAGAAGCAAACCTCGAAAGCCTCTGAATAAGGTATCAAATTATACGGAATATCATAGGAGTGAACACAAAAGAACAAAAATGACAAAAATGAACTCAATATGATCATAACAACAGTCAATTGGATATAGTATCAGAATGCAAGAGGACAAGCAAAAACAAAGCAAAATAACTAAATTTCCCGCTTCTCTTCCTTTCAGAAAAAAAAAAAAAAAAAAAAAAAAAAAAAATGCCAGACAAATTCAATCAATGGATCTTGATCCCTTTTCCGTTTTCCATATTGAACATTCTAGTCCCATCTCCATCTCACCCTATCCTTTGCAACCCCAAACTTTCCCTTCTTCGAAATAAAAATGTGCATATGGCAACGGCTCCCGCCCAATGATCATCAAACAAATGACTTGTAGGTTCCCCAGGGTGAGCAGCCACGTAGCTCCCTGATTAGTTATAAAAAATATTAAAATGAAAATGAATAAACCCTGTAGGTTAAAACAACCACACAAAAAAAGGGTTTTCTCCAGTCCAAACGCCAAATAGGAGGGACTGTTTCGTACCCATCGCAAACCCAGATTCCAACTCCAGCCCATAACCTCTCAAGAAAACAACAAGAAAATGCAAACCCCCATAGAAATATATATATATATGAAGAACAAAAAATATATGCTCGAAACCAGTCGTTAATTAATAATATATGTTCCTTCCTTTTTCTTTCCTGCGGGCGCTGCTTAATCTGTAGAACATCAAACGTCAATCATCTCCGCATCTTCTGCCAGAACCTCATCCGCAGGACCCCAGTTCCCTTCATAGATGGTAGCTCCAGCTCGCCGCCGCCGCTCCGCCCATTGTACACCAAACGTCTGGATAATTTGATCCGCAACGGGCCGATCGGCCGGGTCGGGGGATATCATCCACCGAACGATGGTGTCCAGCGCTTGTTCATTCGTGGCATCAACCATGAAGTCAGGTGGTTCAGCAAGCTCACCGCTCCGTACGTACGGTGAGGCTTGTTTTCGAGATGAATCAAATGGACTATGGCCATTGCAATTGATGGTGTCGGACCCAATGCTGCAGTGCGAGTCGGTAAAGTGCTGTTGTTCGTCAGAGTTCGATGCACATAGCTGCTCGAATGAGCAACTACTGTCAGGGAGTGGGTTGCCTGAGGCATCGCGGAGGACTTTGCTAGTTTCTAGACTCCATGTTAAACTAGGAACATCACTCATGTCGCCGTTTCGAAGCTTTTGCCACGATACGCCGTTGTCAGGAAGCTCCACGTTCCCCGCGATTTCAAACATGATCAAACCCAGGGCAAATATATCAGCAGGCTTGTCGTAACGTCCCATAAGGACTTCAGGGCCGATATATTCACGGTCCCCTTCGCCTTCAATACCTGCTGCAGCAGGCCAACGGCTCGCCATTCCAAAATCCGCAATCTTGAGGACACCTTCAAAGGATATCAAAATATTTGCCGGTTTCAAATCTAGGTGAATGAATCCAGAATCGTGGACATGTTTCAGGCCCTGTTGAATATAACTTAGTATATAGACCTATAAGACAGAGGATATTTTTAATGTTCGTGTATTGCTTACCAACGACAACTCAAGCAGTATTTTCCAAATTCTAAAGTCATCAAGCCTGGCCTTAAGCCCAATCTGCGACAGGAACAAGTCCAGGCTCCCTTCTTCGCAAAATTCCGTTTGGATATATAGGATGTTGTTGTATTCCCAGCTGTCGGCGTAGGAAATGATATAGTCGCAATTAGCCAAAGCTTTCAAGGCAACAACCTCATTGTTCCTGCGCTCTCGATCCTTTGGACCCGTGCACGGCTGGTTAGACTTTTTCACAGCCCACACCCGTTCAGCGCGAGACGTTGTAGTTCTAGTTGGCTTTTCGGGGGGTTGTGAGAAGGAGGTCTGATGGAAGGGGGATCCAAATGGTGTCGTTGATTGAGGTTCAGTGACGCGATAGACCTGCGAGAATTCACCAGTTCCCACCAATTCAACCTTCTCAAAACGAGAAGTGAGGCTTGGATCTACATCGGGCGCATTGTAACCACCCAAAGAAAGACTTGACCTTTTCCCCACCTGCGCGAAATACTCGCGGGGTGCAGTTGGCGTTGCTGGTAGCGCCGATGGATCATCTCGTGGGTTGGACCGTTGGTCGCCTTGGGCTGATATAGATAAGCCACTTGGGTCGGGAGGGAAAATGTGTTCTTGCGGGGTATGAGGGGAGTCTCGTCTTAATGATTTATTTCCAAGAGGGCTTGCTGTTAAGTTGGCACTAAACTTAGCATTTCCGAACTGAGAACATTTGAGAGGAGACAGAGTATGAAATGAGATCTTTGGGTGCGGAGACGGAGAATTAAGATTCTGCAACAGACGTGATCTGGGAAGAGAAGACGGAACGGGGAAGGGGCGTTGGTTTAAGTTATGGGTCAAACCGGCAGATGGGGAGTCATCCATGTCGCTATCACTCTCCACATCCATATTGGGTGATGAATATTCAGTGGAAGGCAACTTACAGCAGGGTCCAGAGGGGCCAGAGAGCGAGTCAAATGAGGGTGTTTGGCTATGGGAGGGGCGATGGGGCCGCGATTTAGAGAAGTGGCTGCCGCTAGGGAAGAAGGTTTGCTTTGTCGGGGTAGGTGGTAATTCCGAGTCGTTGGCTGATTGGGTATCATTCTTTCCAGAAGGTGATTGAGACTGGGGGATGTCGTCTCCATCCGCACTGACAAAACTACTGCGACGCGAGATGGCTGACTTCGCATAGGAATTGCCAAAAATACCCGTGCCTTTGGAAAAGGGGCCGGGGGGAGGAGATACTGTAGATTGTTGCTGATTGAAAGGGGTCCAAGGGGTTCCAGAGGAAGAGCGATTCGAGCTCGCCTTTTCGACTGCCGCCTGGGGTAATGGCTTGTGCACACCTGGAAATAGATTGAGTGGCCGTTTACATGGAGTGTCGGGCATGTTTTTGCTAGTGATAGATGCGTTATGGACATCATCCATATTACGATTCTTTTTGGAGATGAGACCCGTGGACATAAACGCAGCTGGCAGGGGTTTCACAAGTTTATAATTTTCAGGCGTAGCGAAGGATTCTGTAGATGTGTCCGAATTCTCCTGACGTAGCTGACTGGGCCCAACTGGTCTAGTCGAACCAGTGGGAAGCGACCTGGAGAAATTCAGGATGGGTCTTGGTTTATCAAACCTGTTGATCGGTTCATGGGTTGGTGAATCGTCCACGAGGCTCGAATCAGACGAAGACTGGGTAATGGTTCTAGATAGTGGATGAGGAGCACCGTATGGAGTCTGAGTCGATTTGTTGTTCGTATGTGATGTGGAGAAAAGGGAGGTGGAAGAATTAGAAAAGATACTATTATTGGAGGAAGAGCCGTCATGAAGAGCCGGGAAAAATAGATGGCCATCAAAGGACTTCGGTTGTCGACTCCGTAGAACCATAGGGCTACTCGGAGGGGGCTCAGCGTCATTCTCAGTACCAGCTCTTGTACGAGAAAACAGGGACCGCTCCGATTGTCGTTGCTGGAGAGTTGATTTCCTGAGAGACGATGAGCGTTTCGGTATCGCCGAAAAGTTAGAGGGTATTTGGGCGAAGCCCGAAGTGGGAGTATCATTTTCAGTTTGCTTCGGTAGTTTATCTGGTGTGCTTCCTATGTTGTTATCAACTTCAAAAAAGTTGAAGTCTGAGCCGAAGTTAGCGCCGTGCAGACTTCGTCGTTTGGCGGAGGGACTCCGCAGTGGAGTTTGATCAAGATTCATAATGACATCGCTCCGCTTCAGTGGACTGGATGTTGAAGGGAAGGGCCTAAATGTACCACTCCGTCGTTTTTCAACTCTTGAAGCAGGTATCTGCGGAAACAAGCTATCTGCAGGCTGGTTAAGGTTGCTGTCACCGGAGCCAAGCTCAGGACTACTACTGATCTCTGTAGACGAAGCTTGTAGAGGTGGCACTGGTTCATCAGATTTCTCCCCAACGAGAGGTGGTGGAAGCGAATTTCCGTTATCGCGAGAGTCGAGCAGCACACGTTTCGCGGGGCTCGACGGTGTGGTACGAGATCTGGGGGGTTGAAAGCTGGTCGTTCGACGAATTCCCGGTCTGTTCATTCTTGCACTTGGTGGATATGGGACCGCTAAAGGCGACGATGTAGAACTGGCTGACACTAGGAACAGATTCCCTTGAGAAACTCGACGAGAGGGAGAGAGTGGCGAGGAAATGTAGTGTGTATTCTTGGATGGAGAATGGGGTCGCGAGAGGAGTCGGAAATCGCTGCTTTTTGAGGGAGATCTGGAGAGAGAGCGCCGCAGCTGCTTGATGGCAGAACTGGGGTTGACATGATGAATTCCGTTTGGCGACGGTAGATGGAGAGTCCCTCCCGCTTCACGGTGCGGTGAGAATGAAGCGACCATTGCGACCAGCGGGGACTAGGACTAAAAACTCCCGATATAGTTTGGGAAAGTGAAGGAATCCTGAAGATACGGTTCAATATGATTTGTGTGCGCAAACGCGGAGCGCAGAGAGTAAGTGGCAAAAGTATGCCTCACTGTAGAGACGAGGATACGGGCTACCGATTTAATATCTGGAAAAGACCGAAGAAGCGCATAAAAATACTGAGGGGAAAGTGACGTGAAAAGAATGCGTAAGTGTCGCGATGTAGTTAGTGGTAAAAGCGAAGAGCGACGAAGAAAGGAGATTGTCGTGTATTATATTTGCCAATGATAACCCCAAAATCACGTAGAAACGTTAATCGATGAAACAAGAGAACAAGGCGGGAATGTTTCAAGTGTCTCAGCTTCTTTTCTTTTTTGTCGAAATTTATTTTGGAACAGGAAGGATAGTTCACAACAGACGCGAGGAATTCGCATCGGTTGCCACCTCCATTCATGCGCTCAGTGGAATATTCCCTCCTTTCAGCAACGTCTGTGAGAGCGGAATGACGAGTGCGGGCGCAGAACAGAAGGGAAGGGAGTGGTGGGGGCAAAGAAAACAAGTAATAGATATATGTATGGCAAGCGGCAAGGGAACCAACCGTGAGGAGCTGTGCGAGAGGGTTGTCCAAGGCAAAGAGGGTGGTTGGACAGCAGTGAGCGTGCGTATCGCAGCACAGCAAGATAAGATAGAGAGGGACGCGCGCGCGCAAAAAGGAGAGTAACGTCAGAGGACACGATCGATGGAGAAAACCTAGGATAGATAGAGGGAGGAGGGAACAGATGACGGACGGCCGATGATGGGTGATGGATAGACCCGAGATAAGAGGCGAAGGAGTTTGTCGAGGGCGGAGGAAGAAAAGCGACAGACAGAACGCGAGCGAAGGCGCGAAGGCGCGAGGAGGCGAGGAGGCGAGGAGGCGAGGACAGCGACGTGTGCGGCGAGAAACACACGGGGCGGCGGGAGTGGGGAGTGGAGCCTCACCCGGGTGGATGTATATGATGTATGTTATGTATGTTATGTATGTTATATGTATGTTGCCTGACACACACTTCCTGTCTTCTTTTTTTTTTTTTTTTTTTTTTTTGTTCTTTCTCTTGTTGGGTTTGTGTAAACTCTACCCGTGCCTAGACTTGGAATATAGAGAGAGGGAGAGAGAGAGAGAGAGAGAGAGAGAGAAAATGACAGTTGTTCGTCGTCGAAGGGGATGAGGGATGAGGGAGGGAGAAGAGGAATGGAATAATGGATGAAGGCTGTTGTTCTGTTGTTTCATTTCTCGTTCTTTCTTTTTCCGTCCACGCGATTTGGGAGGGCGCGTTGTTGTTGATGTCCCAGAACGGCTAGCGTTCGGCTTGGCAGTCCCCAGTCCGGACTAGTGAGCGGAAAGAACCATGGTTGGCGCCTTGGGGCATGGCAGATACTCGAGGGGTACGCGATAAGTGATAGCCATGATCGCGGGGTGCGAGGTACCGCCTTTGTATCTCTTATGGTTCAGTGGTTCAGGGGGGGGAAATAAATACCTTTAGAAATTTTCTTTGATTAGTTAACTAGCTAGTTAGTTAGTTACAGGAATACAATATCCCTTATATTATATAAATATAATACGTGAAAAGGCCTAGAGGAATGAAGAATGAAAGAAAGAAACAAGATACAAGAAATAAGAAAAATAAGAAACAAGAACAACCTCCAGACAATTCTCTTTCTTAACTGGCTGTGGCCTTCTCCCAACCCCCCCGTCTGCAATCCAACCAATTCGATATGCAACAATACCGGCATTAGTGCTGCATTCTATTGGTTTGGTGTGTACCCGGTGGGTGCTCGTCCTTTTTCGAGCAATAATAAATAACTGATGAAAGGGCTTCATCCCTTCCTATGCTATGGCTTTCTGGCAACGCCACATCCTCGCACAGAGCTGTCGTAATAATCGACAAATTATCTGGAAACAAGTGCCCGCTGATACCTCAATCCTCCATACAGAAAACACCTGATGTGGCCTGCATGACAACTAGTATCCTTCGCAATTCCCATATAGGAGGACAAAATGTCTTCAGTACTACTCCTCCCTTTTTCCATTGGTCGTTTTTTTTTTTTACACACCCTGGCTCTGTCTCCTCTCAGACAGCGGCTCACCACGCCACGCCATGGTGCCGACAACTTTCCGCCAGCTTCAACATTGTATGGACCCTTTGCGCTCTACGGACAGAGTAGAAGGCCATCAATCAATGGACACTCCGGCAATTATCCCGAAAACCTGGGCAAAGAGGAGAAGAAGCAATAGCGTGGCACCGAACACACACTGAGCTTGGCTTACTTGCAGCATGGCAGCTACAGTACATTATTAGCTGATGCAGGAAATACTTAAAAAGTAACTTAGTTGGCTCTGCGTGGGTTTCTGGAGTGCTCGAAATGAGTGCTCACAGTGCAGCTAGCTGTCTTGTCTATTCTTCCAAATTTCCACCCTTTTTTTTTTTTTTTTTTTTTTTTTTTTTTTTAATATTTTTTAACCTCTCTTTATTCCAAAAACAATGACAATAATGTGTAACTTACACGCGCGCACACACCTGGGAGTTGCTTTGTCTGTTCTGTTCCACAGAGCGTTGATGAAGATACAGAGCGTTGATGAAAAAAAAAAAAAAAAAAAAAAAAAAAAAAAAAGGAATTCAGAGGCTTCTGGTGGGCTCTTGCAGGTAGGTGCATTTGATCCCTACATTAGCTGCATTTGAAGCACGCAGGAATGGTTACAGATGAAGGTTCTTACCCGCATTTCTATATTTAGTCTTGACTGGAATACCTGGAAGAATGCCTTACTTGCAGTGCATGCATTTTGCTGTGGCTATTGAACATTGGTATACGGAGCATGGCACGCCATCATCATTGTCATCATCAAAGAGAACCAATAACAAAGTGTAACGAAACTTCTTTGCTGAACATGTTTTTCTAAACTAGTAGTTACTGTACTTTCAACCAAACAAAATATGAGACAAATAATAACAATAAACATCAAAAGTAAATACAAAACAATAGCATAGAAAATAATAATGGAAATTAACTGTCCCAGAATTTACAGAATTTAATTCGCCATCGCATGGCCCTTTTCCTCAACCAGCATGATATCAACTATATCGCATCGTAGCTCATCAAGTATGGAGTCAGCTTCAGTCTCGCAGATCCGGCCGTCGCGGCTAAATATCCCCACATCGAGCCCGTTATCTCGTATTGCGGCTTCCACGTCAATCCCGGGCTGCGGTAAAGCGTATGTATGGTTAACAAAGACAAATCTCCTAAAAATAGATAGGAAACACCCGTCTTTTTTTTCACGACGAGGTAATTTTGCCCTGGGTTTTGGGGGGCTTACCATAAAAATATCTGCATATGTGTCATTCGAGGCTGATTCCGGTACTGTTCGGTTGGAATCCGATCTTTCTCCAAGGCCATTATTCAGTAAGGTATTAGCACCGCTGTTGGAGTCAACGTTAACTGCTCCCCTTTCTTCCAACGGAACAATCCGAACTACCTCCTCTGCTGCAAGCTCTGCAGAACCACCGCCATCACCTCCATCAACTCCGTTCATTGTATCCGGCAACTTAATAAAATTCACAAAGGCATCCAGCTTCACCCCAGTCCAGTCCGCAATATTAATCAAGGACACGGACGAATGCTCCACGCGGCTTACTTCATGCAGGTCCCCCTGGATCCTTCGTGCGAGGTCAAAGATGGACTGTTGTTGGCCATTTGCATCTTGCTGGAGGGCAATGCGCAGGGGAACTATGTTTAGGGTAGGTGCGATTAGTTCGGGTAGGCCGTCCAGGGAGTGGGAGCGGTTTGCGAGGTAGATGCCGATGATGAGGTTGCTGGAGCCGTCTGCGTTCCCAGTATCAACTCTATTCTTGATTTTTGACCAGTGGATTTTGGCATAAATTGCCAAAAATATGGTCTGCACATTGACGCCGTACAACCGTCCGAGTTTCTCTAGTTTGTCAATGTCTTTCACAAGTGATTGGCGGTAGGTTTGCACCATATCTACGTTGATCGAGTGCTTGATTTTGGGAGAGGGCGGGTCTTTTTGTTTTTGCTGTTCGGAATTGACGAAAGGGGCAAGGTAGTTCGTCCAAAAGCTTTGTCGTTCATGTGGGCTGGAGTTTATATCCTGGTGGATGACTAGCTCTGAAATGTCCACTTTGGAAGCAATCCGGGGTTTGGCTCTGTGTTTCGGGCTGGCGCAGAGTTCTGCAAGCATATTCATCATTCGAGGTAGACTAACAGCATCGTACAGGGCATGATGGATATGAAGCATCAATATCGTTTTACCTAGTTGCTGTGAGGCATGTAATGTCACTGGTACTCGTTGGCCAGGTCGTGCTTCCATGATAGCACTGTTTTGGGCTTTCAGATCTTGCTGCCATATGATGGTGTTGTCCACATGCTTATGAACCACCTGGATATAGGGCAGAGTCCGTTCCCCTGTTGCTATAAATTGCGTGCGCAAGATTGGAAGTTCGCTAATTAAAGACGTCCAGGCTGCTGAGATGGTTTCCTTTGATACAGCCACATTTTCTACCTGGTAGAAGAAGCAGGGATAGAAAAGTTGCCTATTAGAATTCTCATAGACGTTCAGCATATATATCTGTCCAGAGGTGGCGGGAATAACTTTCTCGATATCCTGTGCATTAATCCCATGTGAGTGTAGAAGTGTTTTCGTATCCACTTCTTCCAATAACTTCGCTAGTATTTTGGCGTGGTCTTGCATGAGGGCTTCGTCTTGCTTTGACATTGCGAATTGAGCCATGTTAGGAACGGTACCAGCTCTCAGCATATCGCTTACGGAAAGTATGATGCCTTTCTTTTTCAACAGGGCTGCCACTTTAATGGCACTGATACTGTCCAAGCCAATATGGAAAAGCGTTGTATCTCTGCCAATTTCTTCTGCCGGGACACTAGAAAAAGAAGACAAGACAGCTCTAATCTCATTTTCTAGCGGAGAAAATGGCACGTCTGTTCGCGCAGCATCGTCAAGAGGCCTGTTGTCTTCATCGTTATCCTGCTCTTGGAATACAGGACATTGGCAGATCGATATGCCATCGTCGTTGAAGTCGATTGTCTCACTATCAGGCTGCCTGATAATGTTGTCGAATACAAAGTTGACCCTGTCTAGAAGCCTGAATACATCTGGCTCCCCTAGCACCGTGTCCTTACAAGCAACTCGCCACGCTATGGAATTATCAAGTGCTTCCATTTCAACACACACTGGGTACTCAACATCAGAGAAGCCACCAACGGACTCATATAGTCGCTCTTGCAAACTTCTGTCTCGAGGCGGTCTCTTCTGAAAAATGAAATGGTATCAAACAAATTCTTCCCCCCGAAGCCCGACACTTGCTTGGCAATTCGAAGTGGGATGTGCTGATGCTCAGAAATAGGGCCCATTGTTTCCTGGGCATATTTTAGCATGTCTGCCCGGCTCCCGTGCAAGATAATGCGGACAGCCACTGAATTCATCAGCGGGAACATTATTTGTTCCGCATTCGCATCTGGGATATCTCTTCCCGCTAACATAGTACCGAAAACGACATCGAGCCTTCCCAAATAGCCAGCGAGAACGAGCGCCCAGCAGGTTAACCCGAGATTTTGAAGGGTGACACCCTGGCTTTTGCAAAAAGAACTGACTTCTACGCGAGGAATATCTAGAACCTTCTCCATGCGATGAACCTTTGAATAATCACCTCCCGCATCTATCTGCTTCGGGAATGCAGTCAGACAAGCTCCACTGAGAGCTCCTCTCCAGAATTGCAAGCCCAGTTCACTAGTCGAGTTCAGAATGTGGCCTAGGGCTTTGTCACACGATCCTCTGATATTGAGGGGTCGACCAGAGTAACAAGTCGCTATATCCTCATTGAGAAGATCTAATGACCAGCCATCGTACATCGCATGGGGCATTGAAAGGATCAAGCGCCTTTCTCGTCCTGAGATTTCCGAGACTAATAGTTGGATCTTGAATAGCGGCTGTCTCGTGCCAAAGGTAGCAGCCGCTTTTTGCTTCTCGTCTTTTAATATAGTATCAATGGATCTACCGTTCGTGTTGATCACTCTCCAGTCAATTGGTACCCCAGGAGCATAGACAAATTGCGCGTAGGTAGATGGGAAGCTATGGTCAGAGACCTCAATGAACGAGGTTCGAAAGATAGCATTGGCATCAACAACCTGCTGCCAGGCCCCTTTGAGCTTATCGATGTCCACATCGTCCTTAATCTCGAGTATGTCATGATTAAAGTAGCGATTGAAGCTAGAGGAGACCATTTCAGCGACCATCGCTTCTTGAAGAGGAGTAGCTGGCCAGATGTGTTCGATTCCAGTTAGATCATATCCGTCATTTTCAAAGTAATTCCAAAGTTCGAGTTCCAGAGCTTCTATCGACGTCTGTGGTTTGACCACTCCGTTCAGCTCGTCTAATTCCATGTTACGCACAATGCTCTTAATGGTTTGGCCACGCATAATCGCAGTAACTGTTACTCTGATGCCAGCGTTTGCCAGGCGGGAAGACAGTTGTATGGCGTCAATACTATCTAAACCAACTTCGAAAATCGAAGTGGATTCCTGAATTGTGAGGGCTTCAACATTGGCAAGAGAGGCAATCTCTTCACGAAGCCGAGATGCCATAGCCGTCCACTCAAAAGGATGGAACGAGCCACTGGAGAGGGACTCGTTGATAGGAGGTTCAGTATTGTCAGCACCAGAACGAGTTACCATTTTGGAGTCCCTCGATTCATGTGCCGCAAGCTGGAGCTTGCTGGACGGATTATCCAGGAAGTTAGCTAGTATGTCACGGAATTGCAACGTTAACTGTTGTGTAGTTTCAGGCGTAAGAATATCAGTTTGTGTGACAAGAGTTACCGTCAGAGAGCCATTCTGGTTCCGTTGCACCTCAAGAGCCACTGGATAGTCAGGTTCAGCCTGCGAAGTTATCGATGACCACAGTGAGTGTGCCGAGCCACCTTTATCGGCGGGTTCCCGTTGAAACACAAAAAGATTGTCGAAGAGGGGTGTTCCAGATTTTCGCTGCATCCATTTCATAATATCTCTGATCGAAGTATGTTGATATTGGAGCGTGGAGACATAATATTCATGGCATGATTTCACCAAATCAGCCATGGAGGAGATATTGGAACATGGTATATTACAGGGAAGGGTATTGAACAGTGGTCCAATGATATCCTGGGTTTCTTTAAAATCGAGCGCCCTGCCTGACACAATGACGCCCACTGTCGGAATGAGCTTGAGATGGGCTTCAAGGACGCGAAGCCAGCAAGCTAAGAATACGGATTGCTCTAGTACATCGAGCTTTCGTCTTAAAGTCTCAAGTTGGGTTAATCCTCCGATTTCTAGTGTTGCAACCAATGGGCCATCTCCATGTGTGCCGCTTATAAATAGTAGGGGTTTTGGAGGACCCTTAAGATGTTGAAGCCAAAACTCTTTTGCTTTTGGTAGCTTGCATAACGGGCCCTGAGCCAGGCATTCAAGATATGGTGGCGTCTCTGGAGCGCTCGTTCGGTCATCATATGCTTGTGATACGATATTTAATAGAAGGGGCAAAGAGTTCCCATCGTATAATCCATGGAAAATGTTCAACGACATCCACCTCCTCCCTGGCCCTATGATGACACCAGCTTCCCAAACTCTCCCAGTGAGGTTTGCGGGCTGATCGCGCCATTCCTTGTATCGGCCGTTGGCAACTTTTTCAACTTCAATATCATCGACAGCGGTTAATTCAAACCACGGAAAATCATCTTCTTTGAGAACAGCCTGGGAATAGTGGCCAGCCGTTAATGCAAACTTCGTTCGGAGTATTTGTACAGTACGTTGAGCTTTAAGCCACGCATGTTTGAGGCGATCAACCTCAACGGCCGGCGCCAATTCGAAATTGAAGTTTGTAAAGTAGACCGGCCTCTGGGTTTCTATAAATCGATATATCATACCCTCTTGTAGCGGCGTACAAGGAGCCACTCCTTCGATGGATGCTAATGGAATCCCCAGTTCGCGGGCAACTAGCGCAAGATTCCTATGGGCGAATGCTGTAATCCGTTGTCTAGTTTTTCGATACAACGCCTTTTTGGTAATGTCACCGGCCGTGGTTCGTTTCAATGCATCAGTGAGTGCCACGATCGTAGAATCTGTTTAAGGTTAGTATTAAGAGCAAAATTAATAGGAGTATACATGGCTGTTGCAAAGATACTAACTTTTCATTAACAAAGACGGTTGAGCTTCCTTAAATCCCGAATCTCTCAAAAGTCTGGAAAATGAGATGGCGGAAATGGAATCTAATCCAAGTTCAAATATGCTTGACCACGGTGAGATCCCGGAGATCTCTATTCCAGTAATTTTAGATATCAGACCCATTATTGTATATACGTCCTTCGAGAGTGTCTGGGAATGGTTTCGAGTCTGCGAAGATAGGTGTTGCATCTCCTCCAATGTCATATCCTCATAGATTCCTTTAAGATGTCTCTGGTCTATTTTATTATTTGCATTTAAGGGGAAAGCGGTAACAGGAAGAATATGCGTCGGAACCATATAACCTGGGAGCATTTTATGGCATACTTGATTGACTACCGATAGAATTTTATTCATTAGAGGATCGAAGTCGATTCGTGCGGTCAATTTATCTGGCCCTCTCGACGTATTTGTGGTGAAGAATGACACAAGCTGCTCTCTAGACTGACTTGGGTGTTTTAGAACCATTGTAACGACTTCCTCCACTTCCTCTGCAGCACTGGAAATAACTTGGTTAATCTCCCTAATTTCAAGCCGTTGGCCACGGAGTTTGACCTGGTCATCAATTCGCCCAAGAAAGCAAAAGCTGCCATCAAAGAGAAGGCGCACTAGGTCTCCAGTGCGATAAATCCGCTCGCCCAATGCTCTCAAATATTGAAACTTTTCTTGCGTGAGTTGAGGTCGGTTAAGGTAGCCTCGCCCAACAAGGCCTCCTGATACGCAGAGCTCCCCTACTCCGCCCCGTAGAACTGGTATCGTGGTTCCTGGCTTGCACACAATGCTGCCGACATTGTCGAATTGTGGACCAATATTTGACGGCTTGCCATTTTGCGGCACTCGAGGGAGCATCGTGCAGCCGATAGTTACCTCCGTTGGCCCATATCCATTGTATATCACACCGTATTCACCCCAAGCTTCGAGAATTTCTTGTTTAAGCTGCTCTCCGCCAGTGATAAAAACGCCCCGACGGAGTGAGGGAACCTCGTCTGGGTCAAGCAAGCGTGCCAAACTGGGTGTCAAGTCAATATGCGTGATCTCAAGTTCCCGAATAGTGCCGGCCATGTCTGCAAACAAAGTGTCTCTGGGACATGATGTTACGCATATTCCAACGCTCCAACTCCAGTACTGTTCTAAAACGCTGACATCAAAATGGAACGCTGCAAATTGCAACCACCGAGATGTCTCATCCCAGTGGCCGTCGAATAGTCTTTGGAAAGCGAGCATTGCCTGTATAACGTTGTCATGCGTTATTTCGCAACCCTTCGGAGTGCCCGTCGTTCCGGACGTGTATAGGCAGTAGCAGCAGTCCTCTGCTTGTATCTCCTCTTCTAAAACTGGAGGCTGAGATCGAATCCCGTCCAATATCCCCAGGCGATCCAAAAATAAAACAGGTAAACCTTTCAGTTCATTTTCCTTCTCTGTCGTGGAAAGTAATAGTTTTGCGCCTGAATCGTCCAAAATGAACTTTTTCCGCGCCTCTGGAGCCCCAGGATCGAGAGCAACATACGCGCAGCCAATTTTCAGTATGGCCAATATCGCAAAATATGCCTCGGGGCATTTATCGAAACAAATCCCGATGAAATTTCCTGGGGACGCGCCGTTCCTTTGTAGTAACCTAGCGTATCGATTGCTGATGTCGTTGAACTCCTTGTATGTCCATATTCGCTTGACAAGTCCTTTCGTCCCACGAATTTTGGATGCGAACTCAAGAGCTATTTTTGAAGGAGATTCTAGAGCTTGTACTTCAACAAATTGATGCACCAGCTTAATGGGGGACGGAATTCTGGACTCCTTCGCTGCGATGGCTGATAGGAGATCCTTGCTCTCACCGCTTGGAAGGTGAGTACAGGCTGAATCGAGAGAGAAAAGAGTATGAATCAAAAGACAATCAAGCTGTCTCAAGAGAATTTCAGCTTGACGTTCTGGTAAAATATCGGTCTCAAATGTGAGCTGAAATTCAAGCCTCCCACCTCTAAGTATTAGTTCGACTGAGATTGGGTACTGAGCGTCACGTTAGCTTCAAAAATTGTAGCCTGTTGATAGGACAGGAGTAGACATTCTTACATTAGTTCTGGCATCTTCATCGTAAATTTTCCAGATATTGTTCTCAGCTGTCGACGAGTATTTTTGAAACACAAATATCGAATCGAAGAGCGATGATCCAGATCCTACCAACTGGTAAATCTTTGACAATGGGGTAAACTGATATTTTACCAATGATGCATCCAGCTCCATCACACGCTCTAGTAGGTCTCTATTAGTACCATCGATATTGTACGATGATGGAACGGTTGTTAGGCACGGAAACACAGCTCTCTGGGCTTCTTCGGAGGTATTTCGTCCAGATAACACAAGGCCAAACGTAACTCTGCTCTCCCCAGTGTAGGATGCCAATATTCGAGCCCAAGCAGCTTGTCCAGCAGCTTGAAGAGTGACACCAGCAGCTCTGCAACCCTCTTGTAAGGACTGGAGGGTTTTCGAGCACGGCTTAACCAACACATGCACCTCCTTTTCTTCATGCAGTGGGTTTAAGTCAGGGAACTTTGTGATACAGAGGTCCTTGCCAAATTCTTTCCAGAAGGTTTCACATTCCAAGTCTTTATGGGCCTTGTTACTTGCAGAAATAATATAATCCTGAACTGGTAAAATCGGAATCACTGGAGCTAGTAGCTCCCCCTTGAGTAATTTGGAAAGATCCGAAACAAGCAAATTTAGGGACTGGCCATCGTACAAGGAGTGAAGAGCCGAGAACTGTAATAATACATTCAATTGACATTGTTGTACCGATACATGCCACGGCGGCCGATGAAGATGTGAGAATGCATTCTTCAAGATTCGCTCTCTGTCCGACGATTTTTGACGCCCCTTAACCGTGAGGTCCTCTACTTCAGTCCATGGAAGCTCAAATGCCCCGCTTCGGTAAGTGATCATTGCGAAGGGAACCTCTTCATCATTAACGTGAGTAAAACCTGCCCTAAGTATTTCATGAATCTCTGTTAACGTAGTCCATGCTGCCTTGAGCGTCTGTGAATCAATGGGAATGGTTGATTCCAGGATTAAATGATTAAAATACAGGTCGCCCTCGGACTGTATAAACAGAGCCAACATTCCGGATTGTACAGGAGTACATGGACGAATTGACTCTACGCATTTTTCTGGTACGCCTATTTGCTGGGAAACAGTCGACCAATGGCGAGTTTGAAAAGACTTGAAGTCAAATGATAGAAGATTATCATCGCTAATATCCTTCTGTCGCGCAAAAAGGGAAGCAAGCTCGCCCACGGAAGGATTCTAACATCCCGTTAGTAAAATGGTCGAGGGAAAGAGAGATGAGATTGAAAATAAATCACCTCAAGAACGTCGTTCACAGTTATATCATATCCAAGAACTTTCAATCGAGCAGATATCTGCACAGCATTTATACTATCGAGTCCCAATTGGAATATGGTGGTGTGGTGTTTAATGTGTTTGTGTTCGATATTCGACAAACTCGATAGCACCTCCTGGACTTGTCGGATCTGGGGAGACTCTGCATCATAGCTTAAACGGTGTTCCTCATCCTCGACAGAGCCTGGCCTCTCAATCTCTTTTTCGGCCCGTGTTAGGCGTTGGCGTAATTCATGTACGAAGGACGGAAGGCCAGGACGAAGAATACTTGAATCCAGAGCTCTACCTGACGGGTAGAGGAGCATATTTTGAAGGGCTGCTGTGAAACCGCGAAGGATAACATTCATATCTTCTAAACAGAATTGGGCGTCATCGTAATAAAGAATTATCCTCAAAGTGTCAAGTTCGTTATTAGGAACAATTTCACAGACAAGGGGGAAGTCCATGTCTCCCTTTTCTTCAACCAGTTTCCATATTTTATCATTCAAAGGGCGAGGGCTCTTTTGTAAAAGAACTATCGTATCGAACAGTTGAGAATTGTTGTGACTGAATGTTGATTGTAGGCGGCGAAGAGATGTTAATTGATAGGGTATAACCGATGCATTATATTGTTGCAGATTCCTAGCAAGATCTACGTTCACTGTATTCGAGTTCACTTTAATTCGTATGGGAAGTGTATTGAAGCACGGGCCGACGATGCGCTCCGCCCCATCCACAGGGATGCTCCGGCAACTAAACACGTTTCCAAAACAGATATCAGGCTTTTGGGTATATGATAATAGCAGTTTCGACCATGCCGCTTGAACGGCAGTGAGAAGAGTTACCGAGACTCCTCTGCAAATTTCCATAACTTTATTAAGAGGGGTATCAAAATTACTCTCGACCGTGCGAAATACCCTTGACCTACTGCGAGTTGGGCGATGGCGTGGATCAAGGAGGTGAGACGGAGAAAAATTCGAGAGAAGTGGCCGCCAGAATCGGTCAGTTTCTTCTATATCCATTCCTACCATCTGCTCAAGATATAGATCAAAAGGAACGATGGAGGGCAAGCTAGCCCCAGACATAACGAGCTCGATTTGTTCCAGAAGCTGCGCCATAGCTTCGCCGTCGTATAGCGCATGGTGTATTAGGAACAGAAATAGGTAGTTTCCGCTTTCAGCGATTCGAAGCACCGTCAATGAATATGGCAGGATATTTCCTTCGCCTTGTATGAGTCTACGTTTTTGCTCTTCGATTTGGTCATCGAGTCCCTTAATTTTCGTGCTGATTTCATTCCAGGGCGGATCTATCGAATCCAAAACAATCTGCGCAAAAGTAAACCGAGAATGGTCTGTGGAAGCGAAATAGGAGCGAAGAATGTCGTGCCTCCGGACCATCGAGTCCCACGCATCCCTTAATTTTTTAACATCCTTAACCTCGAAAAGGAGATGATTGTAGTAAGCCGTGGAGTTTTCACTGCTTGTTTGCATGAGCATCGCTTCTTGTAAGGGTGTGCACGGCAATATCTTTCGAATCTGGCAGCCGAAACTTTCGACCTTCTTTCTAATTTGACCCACAAATACGTCAGAGAATAATGCCCGAACATTTGGCAAGCTTTTTTTCTTGGCTAGCTGAACGCTCTCCCCAATAATCCTGGACAGGCGATACACGGTGTTATATCTCATAATTACCGAAACATCTATCCGTCCCAAGCCACTTAGTTGAAGATGTTTTGACAGAGATATTGCTGAGATTGAATTTAAGCCTAGGCTGTAGAACGAAGTGTGAAGGGCGATATCTGTCTGTGGTGTCAAAGTAACTTTAGCCACAGCTTCCGCGATTCTTGTCTCGGCGTCTGAGAATTTGCGTTTATCACTGAAGGCTTCTGTCACGGAGGAGGACAAGTGTAAGGTCTCTGGATCTAATGTCCGGAAATGCTTTAGAAGCTCTGTTTTATCAATTTTTCCAGACGTCGTCATCGGTACAGCTCGGATCGGGATGAGCATGGACGGAATCATGTACTCTGGAAGTCTGGTACTAATGTGATCAAATAGTTTGAGAATTTTAGACCGATCCTTGAGAGCTGCACACTTCTCGCCAGGGTGCGCTGCCGGCACCCAGAAGCAGATTAACTGCTGCTGTTGATTTAGAGTATCCGCAATAATGAATGTTGTGCAGTCGTCAACTTCCCGATCCTCTAACAGGACACGATTAATTTCACCCAACTCGATGCGTTGACCCCGTAACTTAACTTGATCGTCTCTGCGGCCTGTAAATGATAGTGATCCGTCAGGAAGCATGCGTCCAAAATCACCAGATCTGTATACTTTTCCGTATTGAGGATGTTCAATAAATTTACTCCTTGTGAGATCTGGCATATTAAGATACCCGGACCCCTGTTCGACTGTGAGCAAGCATAATGAAACGGATTAAAGTAGAATAACTCACGACTTGATCGCCACCGAAGCAAAATTCACCAACAGCACCTCTAGGGAGCAATTGAAAATCTTTCTCTTCAGAAATCACGAAGGCGGAGGTGTTTTTGAACGGCGGTCCAATATTGTTTATAAAATCGGTTGGCTGGAGATTAGGACGAACAGTGCAAATGTTGGTGGTCTCACTCGGGCCGTAACCTGTTCAGAATACAAAATTAGCAACTCGCAATATATGCGAACGAAGCAGTTACGAAAAATAGGAAAGATAAATGTACCTTGGTAAACGCCACGGCTAGCCCACGACTTAAAGACCTTCTCAGTAATTGCCTCTCCAGCAGTAACTAAGAATTTGACTTTTGGAATATTGTCAGGGTTAAGCAGTGCTGCGACAGTTGGGGTGAGGCTAAGGTGGGTAACATCCATGGCCCGAATGGCCTGTTCCATATCTCGGAATAGCACATCGTTGATTGCAGAGCACAAAGTCAAGCCCCTGGTCAACGAATAAAATATCTCAAACACAGAAACTATGACTAGTCAGCACGGATAGATTGGTAGGTAGAAATTTCGCATCGACCAGTCACTAACCATCAAAAGCGTGGGAGCATGATTGGAGTAATTTCGATCCGGGTGGGTTTGGGTATATTTCTGATAGCATAGCTATATTGCTTTGCAAATTACGATGCGTAATAAGGACCCCCTTCGGCTTTCCTGTGCTCCCTGAGGTAAAAGTACAATAGGCCACTGACGAATCTGAAACGGGCACTTCGGGGCGCGTAGCTGGAAAGTCATCAAGTCTGATGGAATCGATAGCGATGAGTTTTGTGTCCTGCCGTTCTCCTAATTTGAGTGACAAAGGTGAATCAGTTATGCAAATCGAACATTTTGCCTCTTCTATAATTGTGTTAACGCGGTTCACTGGCGTCTGTGCAGTTATTGGAACGTAACCACAACCGGCTTTGATAACGGCTAGGATGGAAATATAAAGGTCGATGGATTTTTCCAGGAATATAGAAACGAGATTATTCGGTAACAGTCCACAGGATAGTAGGTAATTTGCCAGTTGGTTCGAGCGAACATCCATGCCACCAAAGGTCAGTCTCGTTATGCTTGTTGTGCCCAAAGAGGGGTCAAACGCGTCCAGGAATTCGATAGCCACTCTTTCTGGTTCCGACTTCGCCAATCCTTCTACCCCATCTGCTAGGCCTGGCAAGTCTGTCTGTTTCATATAATCAGCGTTCTCGATGGATAAAGTAGAACTAGGTAGGTGGCCGTTAACATCTCGCAAGAGAATCTCCGGAGAGCCGATAAAGATTGATGCAAGCTGCTCCACCTGGAGAAGAAATATATCAACCTGGCTGTCCGGAAGTATCGATTGTTGGAAATTGGCCCGCGCAGACACATATTCTCCTTTAACTTCCAGTTCAAGTGTCATGTTGAATTCTAAGAAATCCCTGGCTTGAACTTCCCGAACCAATTCGGAATTGGGGTGTTCCCCACTTAAGGTTTCTTGCCAAACGAATGCACTATCGAATAAAGCAATGCCAGGGTCAATTCCAGCAGCTTGTTTAATATCAATCAACGGTAAGAACCCATGTTTCAGGGAATTCCGATTTAGGTTGTGAATTGCCCCAATGAGGTCGCGTACGGTGCGCAACTGGTCCAAGTTAATCCTTAGAGGGTTTGTTGCCATACAAGGCCCAATAATGTCTTCAATATCGGCTATAGGAAGCGTGCGACCAGAAGCGACAGAACCAAAAACGATATCAGGCTCCCCGATGTACGCGCTAAGAATATAACCGAAGGCAGCTTGGAATATTGTCTGGCGGCTAACTCGAAGGTTTTGCACTGCAGTGTCAAGGTCCCTCACCTTTATCTCTAGGAGTCGTTCGACGGTTCTAAGGCCGATGGGGATGTCGGATGTATCCTGGAAATTTGGCCAGGAACTCGGCTTGATGCTTTCCATTTGCCCTTGCCAGTAGTTGATGGCATTCTCTCGATCTTCCGCGCTGATATGGTTTAAATGGTAGTCAGTAAGTAACCGATATTGTGGCCGCGGCTTTAACGTCAGCGAAGATAAAAGGGTCCCAATATCACTGAGAATGTGATCCCAGGACCATCCATCGTACAGGGCATGATGGATATGAACGAGCGCGCGGACTTGACCATCGATCTCTGCGAGATCAACGTGAAATGGACGCATTAAGGGAGATTCCATGTTGAAAGTGAAGTGGTGCCTCAATTCTGATACTTCCTGTACCTGATCTTCCTCCAATTTATTCCAGATCACTTGGACGTTGGGATGGCTAGGGTAACCAGTGGGGATAAAGCCAGACCTAAGTATCTCGTTCTGCAATCCGATCTCCTGGAAGGCGTTTTTAATATCAATTATCCGGATGCCTTCTTGGAATTGCAATTCGATCCAATTCATATATGCTTTCGGATCGCGCATGCTTTCGGAGAGAATGGCCATTTGCACAGGGCTGCAGGGAATCACTTCCACAAAATCTGCGAAATATCCCTTTAACTTGAGGTCATCGAAAGTTGCATCCATAACGACTTTCCAGTCACTTGACTCGAATTTCCCCGAGCTTGTCGCTAGAGATTTAGCATTGGATCCGCGAAACAGGGCCCCTATCCCTTGAATAGAGTCGGCTTCTAGAACTCCCAACACGTCGATGTTTATGCGGGCATTTCGCAAAACAGACGTTAGTTTAATTGCTTTAAGAGAGTCAAGGCCGGCTTGAGCTAGGCTATCTGATTTGCTGATGCTTAAATTTAAAATATCTTCGACACATGACGCTACTTTTTTCTGAACTTCACTATCGAACACCTTGGAGTTGGTGCGTTGCGAGTTTCTCCGCTCAAAATAGTCGCTTTCCAGAGCTGTCCTATCGACTTTCCCCGACGCAAGCCTGGGGAGGTGATCTAGGAGTTCGACATCGCCAGGTACCATAAATTTGGGCAACCACTTGCGACACATCTGGTGTATTTCATTTACCCCTGGAAAGGACTCGTTGACAGACACAAAAGCGACCAAAATACTTTCCAATATACCAACCACAACACTTCGAATGCCAGGAACTCTGCAGATGATCCGTTCGATTTCTCCAAGCTCAACGCGTTGTCCCCTAAGTTTCACTTGGCCGGTCGTGATTCTTCCTAGGCACTCCAATTCTCCAGATGGATTCAAACGGGCCATGTCACCAGTGCGGTATATCCTCCCATACTTTTCGGTCACCAAAAAGGCCTTCTTAGTTTCCTCATCACGATTTATATAACCTTCTGCAAGCTGAGGACCACCAACCGCAAGCTCGCCAATATGGCCAACCGGAAGAATATGAAGTTCATCTCTAGAATGGTAACCAGGAGACTCCGGGGAAATAATGAAAGAGGACACTGTCTGGAGTGGAACACCAATATTTCCAACCCGCGATTCAGCTAAGATCCTTGGAGCAAGAGTGCAATGAATCGCGGCTTCCGTTGGGCCATACATCGCATAAAGAATGCCGTCATTATCGGCTGAGGACCCGAATTCATCAACCACATGCCTGGTTAGCATCTCTCCGATCGTTAATAGTACCTTTAGACATGGAACAGCGGATCTTTTCTGGAGTAATTCCCCGGCGACGGTTGGGGTGAGCTCGGCTGCATCCACATCTAGTTCCGTTATAATTCGCGGCAGATCGCCTAGCATTAAATTCCGATCGCAACCAACAAGCGTCGCGCCACGAAACCAGGGAAAGAAGATCTCAAATATGGACACGTCAAAGGATGGGGAGGCAAACTGTAAGAATCTTCTGAAGGGCGGAATCCATTTGTCATGCGCGAGTAGTGATTGTGTAGCAGCACGATGTGAAACAGCAACGCCTTTAGGAAGACCTGTGGAGCCAGACGTGTATTCCAGATATGCAACGTCATCGGTCAGTATTTTAGGAGGTTGGAACTTTTCGATTTCGGCCGTGTTGATATCAGTATCTTCCGATATGATGATACGGATAGGTTTGTTAAGATGTGTCAATCTACCAGCCAATGGTCGTGTAGTAACTATGATGTCTGCGCAAACATCATTCGCGATAAAGTTGACTCGCTCTGGAGGGGCGTCCAGGCTGAGTGGGCATACTGCAGCCCCCACTTTCAATATAGCCAACCAGGCTATATAGAGATCGACGGATTGGGGTATAAGTACTGGAATTACTGGGTTTCGCTTGCGTGGGTCAGGGAGGGATTTCAGAATATCTGCCAGACGTAAGGACAACGCAGTTGAATGGAGATGAAGCAATTCGAATGACAGATTGCTCTTTGTCTTATCAGCGTTGAGGAAGTCTATCGCCGAGTTACTTCCATGTCCTTCGGATCGGACAAGATCATGAAGAAGCTGCGGTCCGGAAATAAGCTCGGGTGTCGGATTCAAGATGGAAAGCTCAGGGTTGTCATCAGCGGATTGCGAATCTTCTAGTTTAGAGTTGAGACGTTTACGAATAATTGATGTCAGTTGTCGACTAATCTGGGTTAGATAACGGGTACTCGTGCATCTTGTCGATATGACACGCCCACCGGATTGCTTGGGGTCGTATGTCACTACCAGATTGCAGCCGGACGGGGGTAACGATAACTGAAATCCCAGTTAGCTGATGGGATCTGGGTATAAAGAACGTGGAAGAACGATAATATCTTGCATTCGTAGTAAATATCCCTGTATAACTCCGCTCGCCTTGTACCCATCTATCTAGGTGGACAGTTTGGAAGGTTCCTGCATCCAGATCTGCCTTTATTGATTGGCCATCCAAACAAAACGTTGGGCATTCATGGCCAGTCACGGACTTAAGCAGGGAAGCCCATGAAAGAATAAGCACATCCACTGCCAATTGGCAGTTTCCAACGTTCCAGGAGATAGCTATGCTGCTTGGTACCTCTTCCTGGCCATAGTCAAGCGCAGGGAAGCTTGTATATCTCCCGTCTAACGTAGGATCCATGGCCTTGGAAAGGCAAGCACGCAGGATTTGTTGCTAGTAAGAAAAAAAAAACTATCAAACAACCCAGCTGGCCAAATATATCTCAAAGTAATATATGATTATACTCAGAGATAAACCATCAGCTCGCAAATCCTTGGCTAGCGCGGGGATTGTTTAAACGTCTTTAGACCGATATCTAGGGTAATCTTCCCCCCATTTCAAGGAAGTATGTCGATGTTTTTCACCGTAGACGGGGCCACCGTCTCTTGAAATAGAATATTCTCTTCGCGTATGTTATCTGGAAGAGGGGTTCCTACTGCATTTCGTTAGGCTCCACCGGAACATTGAAATAAGCTTGATGGATGGAACCGGCATCGTATGGAGAATTCTCTGGAATGTATCCACAAGCAGGATCAAAATTTAAGTCATAACATGGTGGTCCAAGGGGTCCACTTACTTGAATGTCTGGAAACTGTCCAGCGCCCGACAGAATGTCAATCAATGATTTGAACATGCAATGACTGTCGAAGGGCGAGATCATACCAACTCTTCGGTCAGGAGAGAGAGGGGTATCGTGCTGACAGCCTTCGTTCTATAGTTTGGCCTATATCCCAATAGGTGGATATTCCGCGCCATTCGCTGTCCCCGTGGTCAGTCGAGTTATGGTGGTTGTGGTGGTCGGGACGGATCTAATCTTATCTCCGACTGATCCGAAGCAGTGGCAACCATAACGTGCGTGGGGGTTGGCTTGCTCCTAAATCGCTTGGCGTTCAACAGGCCAGAACGACATTCACGCTGCATTTTGCATTTTCACTTTACATGAGGAAGAACAAGTAGACAGACTAAGCGCTGTGTAACATAGTATAGTATATATACATTCCAACCCGCTGAAGAGAATAAATCAATATGTAATGTATTAAGCAGCAAAGAAAACTGTCATTAATTGGAAAATTAATATGTCCCGCCAATCCGTCCAGACCACAAAGGGGTAGGTAACATCAAGTCATTTAAAAGGAACACGAAAAGAGATCAGCACCATCAAGTCTATACAGCATCTTCGGCAGCAACGCTCCGATACACCATACCGGAACCAGCCCTACTTCCCCCCGACCTCGTCATAAGTGGCATATCGAACATGCGAGCATAATTCACCGCCTCGCCACCTAACATTGCGCTCCCCGTATCTCTTTTGCCAAAATAAGGCTGACTATCGCACCAAAAATCTTTGCAATTCGTAACAACACCGCGTGAGAAAGGGTTCCTGTGTCGAGCCCCGCCCCGCCGATCAAGTCCATCCTGCGCCGTGGCTACGAAGGTATCCAGACCCAGCAGCGTCTTCCATTGGGATAGGCAGCCGTGGTCGTGGCGGTGTGGAAGCGGTCGGCGGTGTGATGGTATTGTAGTTGGTGGAATTGCTGGGTTAGGACCCTGGCTTGTCGTAGAGAGGCCGCCAATATCGGTCGAAGTAGTGCCGGTTGTAATGGCGGAGGTAATGGCTTGCGAAGCTGAGTTCGCATAGTCGAATGTGTGTCCCCGCAGATTTTCGTACGTGGTCTGATTGCGGGATATCTGGACAAGCTGGACGACACAGAGCATGCTCACCCATATGAGTTGGAGACTGGTCCACATCGTGAGGATGATTGTGAAGGTATCTCGGTTGAGGATATCGCAGAGTGTTGAGGAAAGGATGTTGCATTCAGCATCCGCAGGTACAGGAATTAAATCAATATCTGTGGCCTCGTGAGTAAATGCTTCTTCTTCGTGGACACCCTCCCCCTTTAACTTCGCTGAATATCAAGACTTACGAGCAATTACTAATTGTATATAGAAAACGATGCCAATTTCCATGCTAAAGATATACAGAATAAAGTGGCGCAAGTTATTTGCGCCAACGCAATTATCGATCCATGGGCAATGGCTATGTTTCCCCAGTAGGTTAGTCTAAAGTAAATTCACCCAAATAAAAAGAAAAGAAAAGAAAACTACTGACTGGTCATGCTTAGACACACAGCGCTTACACCGTCTGCAATGTTTGCTGCGTAACGGCTTTCTAGTCATGCAATATACACAGAAGTTGTCTTCGTCGAATTTCCAGAGCTCAAAAAGTTCTGCTATCGTGTCCCTCTGCTGATTTCTGCTTCCTAGTTTAGGGACAAAGCCTGGATCTTCGAACATTGCAAGACCATAGAAATACGTTGTCAGGCCGAAAAACACTGTGAAGAAGAAGTTCAAAAAAGGGCGTGAAGAATATGTATCTAGAGTGCAACATTAGCTATTCAACGTAATTCTCGAATTAAATGGGAAATATTCATTTGGGTCTTACTGGGTAGCACCTTCAAGGCCCAACGTGCTCCAACCCAAAATAGAGTTCCAGCAAAAACGCCTGATAAGAAGGGCTATATGTAATGGGTTAGAAGGCGAGTTCACAATGCAATTCAAACTCCTAGGAAGGGAGAAACGAGGAGGAGTATGGCCTTCTCCAGAAAAATGAGCATACCGTTCGTTGCAGGACTCTATACTCCGGGGGCCCAAGATTTGCAACCCGTTGTGCAACCCACTGCATGCCAAACACAATCCCTATGGTGACTGGGATACCAATATATATAGCCGTATTGCTGAGGGTAAAGATAGAAAAGAGAATGACAAGGAATGGCCAAAAGAAGAAAAACTTCGACGTGAACTGCTTTGTCCGTACAAAGTTCGCTAGCCCGAATGGCATCGCTCGAAGGTTGCCCTCTCGGTTGTAACCACATTCGTTGAGAGCCCGATACCACACGTTGAGCGTGTTCATTTCCCCCGCTACTACAGCGGGAGTCTTGCCATCTCGCGTCTCCGCAAAACGATCCGAGCCATACTCTATGATCTTTTGAACGCAGGCTGGAGAACCCTTAACCAATGCCCAGTGTAGTGGTGACAGCCCGCCTTCATCAACAGCGTTTACATTCGCTCCCCACCTTAGAAATAGGTCTACACAGGCCGGGAAACCCTTGTACGCCGCCCACATCAGCCCAGTGTGGCCTTGACGGTCCGGCACGTCAACGGGGATTTCTTGATGTAGGAGAAGGGCGAGGAGGAACGCATTTCCATCGATGGTGGCAAGATGTAGTATGTTATATCCTTGGATATCGGTCGATAGAGGGTCCGCGCCGTGTTGTAGTAATAGGTTCACGATGTAATAGTGGCAGCGCTGAGCTGCCCACATGGCCGCTGTAGCTACAGACTCGCCCCCTTTCGCATTCACGTCGGCGCCGGACTCGAGCAAGAACTTGCAAAGGGCATACTGATTGTTTATTGCCGCCCACTACACAAATAGCAGATTTGGTGCGTAAGCAAACTGATCCTCTTTTAACGAAGGCAGGGAAATTACTCGATTATCCACTTACATGTAAAGGCGTAATACCCTCTTCATCTGCATATCTGGCATTAAATTTCCCGCTTTCGAATAGCTTTTGTATGGCCCCTATTTCACCTAGTCGAGCCAGCTGCATTATATCCTCCTCGATGGGCAGTGATCGTTTGGATTTGCTAGTGTTTCCATCCTCCCGGTTGATATCCTTCAATTCTAGCTCATTTTCTCGCGTCGAGAGTTTTGGAGGAACAGCTGTCCCAGTCCCGGTTGTCAGAGACGTAGAGCTGGAATTTCTGTCTGTGGAGCTTTGAACATCACGAGATGTCGATGAGGAGGACATGGCTCAGCGCGGAGTAATTCAGGGCTGATATATTTATCTGGGTGGAAAATGCGCCGGGAGTGGAATATAGCGGTGTGTTGTACTTGTCCCTCAGTTGCGAAGTTCAATCATTTCGTCCTTCGGGGGAACGAGCGAAAAGGGAGGACTAAATTTCCGGATGGGTTTGGTTCTCCTGCATATTATTGTTGCGATGGAGCAAGATTATTTTTCCCAGGCTGGCATTCTGGGGTGGAGTATGGGGAGCGCGGATTCGGATTGGGCAGCAGCCCCAAAGCGGTTAAATAGAGCTGGGGAACGTCTTCGCGGCTCTTGAGTTCCTGAGATGATGAACATTTCCTCATGGATTCCATGAAACTGTGAATTACTGTTATTCTATTTACTTGTCTTCATAGTCTGTGTCTAGCCTAATAATCTATTATTTATCTCTTCAACAACACTGTGATGTTTCCTGCAAACAAAACATCTTTTCAAGCATGCCATTCTCAAGCTAGCTATCTGGGTCATGCTGGGCTTGATCTGCGCAAATTGAGGCTGAACATTTTTCATCTGCGAATGCTGGTGTCTCGTATTAGCTCTGAGCAAAACTGACTGCTGTCAGCCTGACAAAACTGGTATGAGAAAGGTCTAGGCCAACTCTGCATATATGTCCAAAACTATGATTTTTAGGACCAAATCCATCCAATATTTAATGAAAAATGTCGGTATGAAGAGAGGGAAGAAAAAAGACCCCCTTTTTCTTTCCCTGCAAGCTGGGAAAAATCTAACAATCAAGAAAGCAGGTAGCTATAGGTACTTTCTATTCCGCACCGCAGGTCTTATTTACTGTCACCCCTCTCGATATGCCTCGATTTCCCGAAACATCATCTCGACATCAACCCCCAACTCGAAATCCATCAAGAAGCTGAAATTAATCTCGAGCTTCGCCAGCTCCCGCTCCGTCACTCCCCCAACTCTAGCAAACCGTCCATGTCGGTAGCAGAGATCCTCCATCATCTTCGCTGCTACCCGCAACCCTCCTAGAACGAGCCGATGCATGTTGCGTGGTGTAACATATATGATTTTCTCCACAATCGCTAGGCGTCTGATATATTGACTTGTGGCGAGATATACTGCCGTTGACATCGGGCAGTAACGATGGACTCGGAGGAGATAGTCTTCCAGAGATATCGGGGATATCTGCTTGCAGTAAAAGCTCTTGATCAATATCATTGGGGAGACGGTAGAAGGATCTTTTGTCCCAGGTCTCGGGTTAGCGTTCAACGAAAAGTTGTCTGCCATGGCGCAGTTATCATTCGCCGTCTGGTATGAGATGGTGGTTTCTCCCATTGGTGTAGTAGATGAGGGGATATCGCCAGTAAGTTTGGCTAATTTTTTCACATGTGCGCAGAGAATCATCAAAGCTGATTCAGGGGGAACACTGGTTACTTTATCGTAATAAGGTGATTTAGTATCCCCAGCAGAACCAGAAACAGGCTGGGGCCTCGTCTTCGGGGAAAGAGAGAGCCGCCGCACCGGCGAGGCTAGATCAGTAGCCATATCGCCATCTGATTCCTCGCTTCGTCTGTTCATTTCTGTGAATGTTCGCGACATCTGAAAGACTTCATTTACTCTTTTCCTAGAGACTAGTACGTGCCAGGCCAGGTTTCCTCACGTACGGGACATCCGGGGCTTGCCGCATCTCAGTGTCAGGTGAAAGTTCATTTCCGGCAATGAGGCTTGCATTGTAGAGTGGTGTCGGGCTAAATTCGGCGAGCACGAAGGTTTGATTGAATATACATGCAACTGCAGATATCCAGGCGGTTGGCTCGGATTGTTCAAGTGCGTCTTGTATCTCTGACCTGAGAGAGACACTTCACAGAACATCAAGAATGCCAATTGCGTATTTGTCGTTGCAGGTTCCCCACGATTAAACATTTACTCCGAGGTGAACCCCAGAGTCCATAGGATGTGCGAAAAATAACAGACAAGACTAAGCAAGGCGTGTTTGTGTATTTTTATCCAGACGATAAGACCTAAGAGCGTTGCCCTGTTGAGCAGGAGGCGCCCCGGAGCAGAAATTAACGAGAACAATTAAATAAAACAGCGAAGGGAGAAGATACCAAAAACAAGGAATAGTAGCTTATGCATTGTAGGATAGTTGAAGGTTGTATTGATAGATCTATCTACAGGAACATAATATAGTGGTGGGTCACGTGATCTAGTGGGATCGCTTAACCGCAACGGCCGTAAGGGCCAACACCCCCCCTCGAGATAACAAGAATCACATACAAAAACACCCAAACCACCAAGATAGTCTGTCAAAATCAAATACAAATGTAAAATTAAACATTCCCAACTTTTACACCTGTGAGACCTAGTAAAATCATGAATCATACAAATATCACAGTGTCTAGAGATTTAGTAAGTCTATTTATTATTATCTGAGTAATGAGAATATATTCTAAATCAATGACTCTCTGATTCAACTGTTAATATGAAAAATGAAAATATGTATTAATATGTTTGCTTCAGACTGTAATAACTGTCATCTTTATAAGATCTATAATATTCTTATTATCAGTGAGAATCTGTATCAGAGATATAATAATAAAGTCAAGCTTAATTATGAAATTCTAAATTCATGTTATCTTACAGACTGTCTCACTGAGAGTTATATATTCAGTCTCATTGAAACTTAGAGATATACAAGATTGCTTCACTGAATATCATGAAATCAGACTATCTATAAGCTTAAAAATATAGCTGAATATTGATTTTCTATTATCATTTAAGAGATCAGCTCAATTGAAATCTGAGTAGCTGAAGAGTAGATAGAAATTATCAGAGAAATCAGAGATAATGAAAGAATTGATAGAAATGAAAAAATTGATAGAAATGAAAGAAACAGAAGAAATGATAGAAATGAAAGAAATAATAGAAACAGACCTCTCATACAGACTGTGTCTATAGAAAATACTCAGATTCATGATCTCTTTTAAATAACATATAATATGTAATAGAGTCTTTCAACATTGAGATATTAAATCAATGTTTCATTGAGTGAGTAGTGAGACAGTGTGAGTGATATTAGAATGTGTTTTAACTGCAAGATATTATAAGTAACTCATATTATATTAATATCACTAAATTGTGAAATCAGTCTCTTTCTCAGATATAGAGAAATCATTAATATAGAATTCATTCTTCATTAATATTCTGATAATAGCTGTATTATCAAGATAGAAATCTTTAACAAGATATTTAATATATTAATAATATATCAAATTAATTCTCTTATCTGAATAATTAATCTTTATACTTAAATACTTGATTGACTGATATAGATTCTTGACTTTCAATTTCTCACTGAGTATACTCACTAGTTAATCAATATTCTCAGAAGCTTCAGATATGATATTGAGATTATTAATATAGATTATTATATAGAGATGATGTCTGAATATATAATATCAGAGTACTGAATTATGAGTACTGACTGTAAATTCAAGATTACTTAACAGAGCTGTTAAGTAATTATATCAGATCTTCATCACAGAGTTCAGACTGTATAAACTATTCTCAACTGCACAGACAAGTGTTTTCAGCAAACCTGTCTTAAATTCAGTGAGTTATCTTATATAGATCTTCTTGATAAGATACTTATAAAGATATATTATCACTATATTTATCTAACAGAGTGTTCAACTGTGTAGTACTGCTATTGTAAAAAGAATATGATTAGTAGTATCAGTGATAACAGAAGTGTAGATCTCTTCTCTAGAACTCTTCTTAAGTCAGTTATTATAAATTACTCAATATAATTTTCTAAGAATATTATCAGAATCAGTATTTGAGTTCACAGGTCTATCTTTCTTAAGAAACATTTAACAGTCTGAAGTAATTAGTTCATCTCTCAGAATATCAGATCTAGAGATCAGACTTTATATATTATATCTCTTCAGATCAGTAATCTCATATTATATAAACTTCTTTTAATAATCTTCTATTTCTTCTAACTGTGATGTGACATTCTTATAGAACTTCAGAAGATTGTCTGTAATAAGACTTAAAGTGTAAGTAGTCAGTGATTTTGCAGGTCATAATTATATAGAATTCAGATTATCAATGTCAGAAGCATCTTCATCATCAATTAGATGAATATCAGATTCTGATTTAATAATATAATTAATGAGTTTCACAGATGTAATAACTGGTTTTTCAGTGATCAGAAACCTCACATCACTACTGATAATAATCTTATCAGATTTGAGATATTATAAATGATATATTGATGTGTCACTGAATTCAATAATATAATAGAAATCAGTGCATGGAGAAAGCTTATCTACAGACTGCTGAAATTCATGCAAGTGAATAAAAATCTCTGCACTTAATCAGTGAAAATGTCTTACATTCAGCAGAGTATTTGTAAGTGTATATTAAGAAATCTTATATGAACTTGAAATCACAGAAGTCTCTACAGTAGAGAACTAAAATTTCAAGTTATAAAGAACTGTAGATGTGAGAGTATTATTAATTATTATAATCACTGTCTCTAGAACATCTGCTCAGAACTTTTTAGAAAGATTATCTTTCAAAAGAGCAGCTCTAATCTGTTTCATAATAGTATGAATTTCATATTCAGAAACATCATTCTGATGTGATGAATGTGATGCTGTTAATTCTCATTTAATACTATATAAATTCATAACTGTGTGCATATGTGTGAATTAGAAAACATCATCAATATCAGTCTGTAGAAAAGCAGAGACTGTATACTCAAGATTACTCATGAATCTGAGTCATAACTCAAAGTATTGAACAGTCTCATTCTTGAACTTCAAAAAATACACTCAATGATAGTAAGTTATATTATAGATGATAAGTATTCAGTATTTGATCTTCTGACAGAACTCTAAGAAGTGATCAGAAAGGTCTTTCAATGTATATTCATTATCTATAAGATTAATATAAATCTTCTCAATGAGTTAAATAGATCTAGGCATTGATGTTTTTGAATAATCTCATATCATATCTGTCTTAACACATTTCTTATAAAAGAACTTAGTCTTAGAATCTTTAATTGTAACTTCAGTATGAGAATTCTTAATCATAGCAATTATAGCATCAGCATGAATGTGATCAAGATCACAGTATCAGTTCAAAAGAGTCTTTGATATTCTTGTATTCTTGAGACCTGTATTCAGAACTGTAGAATTGATGTTATTAACAGTAGTAATAGCAGTCACAGAAAGATTAACTTTTCAGTCAAGATTATACTCATGTGACATTGTAATATACTTGACTGCCTTGTTCAGATAATTGAGATTCTCATTGAACTCTTATTCATTGATCTTATATATATTGTTCTGAGCAGTCTGAACTGTATGAAAAATAACACTATTCAGAGCTCTGTAAATGAAAAATGAGAGAATAGTAAAAGACAATGTAAATTGAAATCTCTGATCTTCAAGCTTTATAAATGAGAGCAGATTAACTGTAATATTAGAAATATAGTGAATATTCTGTAAGTTAACATCATCACTCTCAATCTTCAAGATAACAGTCTCAATCTTCTTGACAAACTCAGTTCTCTCAGTCACAGAATCAACAGAGATATTATCATTAAAAGATTTAATGTTTGAAAAAGAATGAAGCTTATCTGTTATATTCAGACTTACACATATGTTCAAATATCAAGATCTAGATAATGATTTTTCAGTGACTGTGAAAGAGAAATAGAACTTAATCTTTATAATTACTGCATTTACTGCTGATTAAGAACTTATCAAGTTATTCTTCTTCTCTTTCTTCTTATCATTCTTCTTATCATTCTTCTTTTTCTTTTTATCAGAGTGTAAGATGAAACATCTATCAACAGTATGTTCATATCTTCTGCAGTGAGTGTACTTTTATACAGATATACTTTTATTCTCATCTTTATTCTTATCTTTGTTCTTTTTCACAGTCACAGAATCAGTCTGAGACTGCTTTTTTCACTCAGTGATAATCTTCTTAAATATATGATTGATCAGTTGCTTTATCAAATCATTGATATTAATGTTAACAATGAGTCTCTGATTAGTGAAGAAAAACTTATTCAAACATGTCTTGATAAACAGTCTTTGATAATTCTGTAGATTGTTGAGAAAAAGATTATGATATACATTCTCAGTACTCTGACAGAGCTTCTTATGACAGATAACAAGATAGTGAAAATATCTCTGAAAAGTAAGATAATCATTCTTCTTGACTTATAATTTTGTCAATTTCTTGAAGATATTAACTCATTCTTCTATCAGTGATATTATATATTCAATATTAATCTTGTTTCACAGAGCTGCAGTATTATCAGCTTTCAAGATTTCAATAGTAGTTCAAACATTTTTAATAAGACTCAATAGTATACATTTATATAGAGACTTAAAACAGATTCTTCACTTCTCAGAGTTAATATAATATGTAAAAGAGAATTCTTATTAAATTCTCAATAGAATGTTAGTTTCATTAATAACTTCTGTATCAGTTAATATATCAATATATCAGACTTCATAATTAGAGTTATTAAATGTAATCACTGATTTGATATCTAGTGTATATTTAACTTTCTTTTGATATTTCTGCAACTCATCTCTCATAGTGTCTCTTTATACAGATATAGTAAGATATTGAGTGATTTCAGCTGCAGTTATCTGATTCTGTAGCATTATCTGTATAAGATTCATAAGATTGTCTGCAGTGCAATAGATAGATTGATTCAGATTATCATTAAAAGTCAGTATTTCAGAGATAAGAGATGATGAAGAATTTAAAGAGTTAAAATAAACAGATTCTGTAGATAAATATTAACTCTGCTTTTCTTTATTCTGAAACTTCTCTATTATCTTATTATCAAATTTCATACTCTGATAAAAACTGATCTCAGTCTTATCTTGCAAGTCAGAAGCTTTCTTATAATGAGTAATTATTCTATTAATAAGTTATTTAGTAAAGTATGTGATTCTGAATCTTGAGCTGAACTCTGAAGTAATAGATATATTATTTATATTGAGATGGCTCTGCTTCTTCTAGATGTGTAAAAAAATAAAAAAGTGATATTCTTCACAACAGAGAATGTGCTTTCTCAAAAATATATAAAGTATATAAATCTGCT